ATTACTATTGCAAAGAAAAATGGAGCCTTGCCAAGCTAAACATTAATAAATCATTGTGTGCCAATGCTAATCTCACAAACTTTGTTTTTGCATCATCCATGAATCATTTAATCCATATACTAGGGAAAAATTCTTATTATTGTCAAATACAGTAACACAGAATTTAAATTTTATTTATTGTAAATTTCCTTTGAGCAAAGGTTTTGCTACCAACAACAACAAAAAGTGAATGATAAGAAGCTGCCACTGTGATCTGCTTTAGATTTAAAAGGACCCCCAAAACAAACACAGAAACGAGGTAATTGATTCTGGACTTCAAGCCAACACATATTGTCTTATCGTCCCATATACCAATGGCAATATGCAAGATGCCTCAATGCCTCAAATGCTTTGCTGTATCGAACCGGACGGCTCTAAGATGCAAGTCTGAGTTTCATTTAGTATTTTGATCAAAAACATAAAATCTTTTTAATTGCTGCATTTGGGTATGTTTAATTTTCTTTGATACTTTGAGGTGAATTTGGGTAATTGCGAATGGACTTCATTCTTGTATAAAATGTTCAATTGACCCCCTAGGAGCAAAAGTGATTAGGCAAAAGGGTGGTGCCCTACTTTTAGGGAACGAGTTGTTGGCTAGGGCTAGGCCTTGATAACAGTTTCATCTCGTTGAGTATTGCATCATATTTGGCAATTCCAGACTTGAAAAATAAAGTCTAAAGGATTTCATTTTCTGTTAGGTAACGGAATTGAATAGAACAAATGGTCATAGAATTGTTTTTGTGTCCGAAAAGACTTTCGAGTCATGTAAACAAACTGCCTCCTACTGGCCTGTCATGAGACGCTTCTCCGGATGAATCGTATACGAAGGATACTAACCGGTACGCGATCGGGGTACTTCTTTCTTATCTTCTCGCCTTCTGACCTCCTTTTCTCAAATGCATGTTCTTCTTTATATTGCCACTTCATTTTGAGGATTTTGTTGATCAATCTGATGCCAGGCTGTTATAATATTCACAAAAACTTCCCTTCACTCTACGTTGTTCTTATGTTTTGTTTTCACTAAGTAGAAACTCGATACTACGCATGCTCAATTTTTTTTAGCCAAAGTCACATGACATGACATCATCGTTATCAAGGGAGGACCTCCTTCCTGGCCTTGTGGATACGAAGAAATCATACAACTATATAAAATTTAAAGGACGAAAATGAAGATCCATATAAATTTCCATTTACTGACAAGTATATAAAAAGGCAGAAGAAGTATTAACTAGCCCAACGAAGGTTGAATTCTCATTTTGTTGTCGCACAATCCAATTTTAATGTTCATTTGTTTTTTTCTGTATAAAGTTGTTTACACTTTAAATCATGCTTGTAGATCTAGCTACGTCTGTATTTTCGTTAAGATTGTAAAGACCATGTACCTCTGGTCTGGTATAGTGTCGTTGAAACTTAAGAAACTGAAATTTATTTCAATATCAACTAAATGTAGAATACAATCAATATTTCATTTAATTTTCTTAATCTGGAGCGATTTACCTTTTCAGTTAAATAAAACAAAAACAAAGCAACTTTTGCTTTTAATTTCAAAAAAATATTCTTTGCAATCATGAATCATCAGCAATTTTCAATTTGTAATCGTTTCATGAATGTATAATATATGAATATTTTCTTACTTTTATTAGTTTGTAACACGCCTCCTTATTTTCATAATTCCTTTCATTTACATTTTTGCATTTCTGTCGCATATCTAACTTTATCTTACAATCTTGACTTTTTCAATGATTATAAATATTGTCGTTTTGGCTTGATTGCTCCAAAGAGTTATAACTGTCAATATCACTATGAACGTTTTAAATGTTGTTTTACATAAAACAGATAACTTTCAGAATATTGAAGTATCGTGATAAGGTTTTTAATGAAATATTAGATAAGTTTTTAAAACATCAAAACTTGAAGATAGCAAGGCTACCGGAAACATAGAATACTAAAACATTTTTCCTCCGAAACTCTTCAGAGTATAAACATCGGGTAATGACTAAAAGTAAGCTGAAGATTTATATCCAGGTGTGGATCGAAAGTAACTTGAGAGGAAGAAAGACGCACTCAAACGATAACAAGAGAACCAATCAAACGCAACAACCTTATCGTTCCATTTCACGGACTAGTTCTCTAGTTCACACAGAACGATTGCATAAGCATACCGTTCCACATTTCGTATCACTTTCGAGAGCGTTCCAATTTTTGGAACGGAACGGAACGGAACGGAACGGAACGGAACGGAACGGAACGGAACGGAACGGAACGGAACGGAACGGAACGGAACGGAACGACTTAAAGCGTTCTCATGTGACCACAATCCCTGAGCGATATCGAACGGTACGCAATCGTTCTCGTGTGAACGGGCCCTACGATAGGTATCATCAGTGGATTCTTGGCAAAGCAATTGGGTTATTTGAAATTTTTCGATATAACACAATTGATGTATAGTAACAGGGTGGTTCCCAGTTGCTACTCTGAGTTTCATGCTAATTGCGATCATCAGGGCATTGTTCGTTTGATATAACATGTTTAGGTTGCAAAGGGCATCTCTCTATTCTTTCTGAGACTTGGACAGTTCATATAAGACAAAAACATTTTTTCTACAATTCATGAAGATTTCTACAATTTAATAATTTTAACATTTTTAAACAGCATTCCACACCAGTTATGGTTCAACTGTACAAAGTATGATTTTAAATCAAAACATGTATATTTAAATCATATAAAATAGCTTGAATATCATTACAGAAAAAACAAACAGCATTTGTACGACTGAAACTAAACTATGGAAAGTCCATGTTTATATGATCATTAAAAAGTACTGATTGTCAGGGACTGGTTGTGGAAGAAGGGGTTAAATTGCCTGATACAGGAAATCTTCCCGGACATTAGGTATTGTAGATGCAGAACAAAGAGGCTTTGTAACCTATACAAAAGAATTAACAAAAAGACCTGGTGCTATTTTTTTCAAATACCAATACTTTATTGCTTATGCCATCTTAGTCTAAATAAACCCACATGCTGCTTTAAAAAGATAACATATTAAAACTATTTTTAAAATATCATGTAGATCAATTTTCAATGAAACAAACAAAGATGATTGACTCTAAATGTGAAGCTTTTTAAAGATAAATGGCTTTACATTTATTATTCTATAGCCTCTTGAAGAAATGTAAACCATGAAAATCTACAACGGTTTGCCAAGTGTTTAACGCAGGGCTATCAAGAGCCATACCAAGCCCAGTGCCCCCTCCCTTTCTATGTGAGCCTGGTTTGCCATTCAGAACAAGAAAAAAGATGGACCTCCAACACAATATATAGCAGGAGCTTTCAATTTTCACTTCTACTTTCAATTTCCTTGATATCCTCCTCTATTCCTGTTACAAATGGTATTCTTGTTGGGACAGACTTGACAAAGTCAATGTAATCTTCACCAAAGAACCTAACTAGTGCATATTCCTCATCTTTGATTCTATCTCTAAAGAACAGCCAGGATGCAAATATGAACGCTGGAATACATATTGGATTGCATAGCAGTAGCTGTGTGCCTGAAAGAGAAAAATCCTTTATGGATGATTAGGGATTTTGTTAACTGAAAGAAAACATGCATAATATTAAATCTTCATAACGCCACACAAGTATAATAGGAATGTTTTTATAAAACAAAAGCAACAAATGGCAAGAAAAATCTCTTATTTGTGGCTATTTGATCTAGCTATTTGATAATACAACTGAATTGAGAGATAAAATTTGCTTAGACATTTCAAAAAGGATGTTCTTGAGAGTATAATGCCGTGAAACTAAGTCCTTTTTACAACATTGCTATAGTGACATATTTGTATTTAATGACTTTTTAAAAACTTGTCATAGATTTGTTTATCTACTGACAAGCCTCCGGCAAAGAAGAATGGATTCTTCACTGGAGTAATAAGTGACTCACCAGTGCTAAAGCAAAACCAGCCAAAATATGATGGGTGCCTTGATATTGAGTATACGCCATGCCTCACCAGCTGATGTCCTTCAATTTTCCTGTACTGCACAAGATGTGAAAAGTTGGATTTCGCTGTAATCATGGCCAATTTCCTCATGCACTCTCCAAATATCACCAGAACAAGTCCAATGAAAGAAATATAACGAGACGCTGTTGATGTTTTCATCACAGGAAAAAAGTAAGCCTCTGCACTGAACTCAACGAAACTTGCAGCAATGGCAATGTGGTACTCAAAACTGTGATTTAATATAAACGAATCTATACTGAGTTCGTTGTAATTGTACAAGGCAGTCAGCAAGTACTCCGAGATATGGAAGAAGCCAAGTGCAACCATGTACCATCCAAGCGTATTCCATGCTGTATGAGTGTTCCCTATGATTACTCCAGCACCAAAAACAGTTCCTATAAACGCAGCATTACGTGCAACCTCTGGAAACGGGACAAAAAATGTCAAGACACAGGCGGACAAGAAACCAAAGGACAGGTAGGCCCAACTAAGCCTTCCCGGAATGTAATTAAATGTGATACTGATATAGTAGGCTGTGATGAATGCAAAAGATAAAAAAGACAGCAAAGCAACTCTTCCTTCTCTGCAAAGCATGGTTCCTTGCACAATTTCTAGGATACAGGCCAACCTTGTCCAGTCCTATGTCAAAAGTTTTTGCTTCGAAAAGAAATTTGCAAATATTGAGCGGAACCGAGGCAGGATACCCTGGCCTCTCAAACAATCATTCTACCTTCGCCGAAAAGAACGTGTCTTTCTTCTGGATAAAGTCATACTAGCACAAAAAACATGTTTTGAGAAAATTTGTTTCTCTATTGAAAAACGTGGTTTTCTGGCGAAAAAGGGAATGTTTTTAAAAACAATACGGTGTTAACAGAAGACCAAAAAGATAAAGCTCGCGTGACTCGCGACCTAACAAAAATTACCTTTTAAGATATAGATTTTAAAGTAGAATAAACTAAATTGCAGATGAACTCGAATTTACTGTAATAGTGAAAACAGTCAAATCTTTATAAATATCTACGTATTTCAAGCGTGGTAATTCGTAACCGAATAGTCCAAGCGACATGAAAGTTTCAGTGTAGGCTTTTTTCAACTCCGAGAATTAGACTCTGAGGTCCGTTTGTGGCGAAGATCTGTTGATAGCAAGATGCAAAATCGATGACATCAACTAAGAGCCAATACTGTTGAATTCAGTTCTAGTTTAAACATATTGGCTGATTTGGAAAAGTCATCAAAATCATTGATTTGATCAAATTGGGTGCGTCTTGAGAAAGATACGAGCTATGTAGCTTCATACATTGTTGGATACAAATTCATCTATTGTCGCTCCTACATTTTAATTCATTGCATTCAAAACTCATTCCTACTGTAAGTGAAACACATCTTAATATAAGATCTCAAAATGAATTAAGTAACTAGTAAAAATCATTAAAGCTGTTCATGGTTGTACGTTTTCAATGTCAGTTAGGTATTTCATCGACAATTACACAACCAGCTGCGGTTAACATTTGCTTACATTTTGGTGAAAGTCATTAATTTTTTAAACTCGAGTTTGGCTCGTTATAAAGAAATTCCAAGGGCATTGTTAGAGCCTGGATCTCTTCCATGTTGTTTGAAGTTTGAATGAGCTAAAGTAAGGTAAGCTTTGAATTTTCCCTTCTTAGATCAAAGCATATTTGTAATTTCATTATCAATTCAATTTTCCTCAGACAATTTTTAATGTTAGTACGTAACCCAAGTTTATGATACTCGTACAATTCTTCTAATTTACTTTCTGAACTCCTGTAAGGTTGTTATTCACAGGGCACACATATTAACTTTCGATCTCATTAATCACACAACCTCAAAGCCTCTGATATTCAAAAAAAATAAGTAAAGATATTATAAATATATAAATTGACATCGTCGTCTGTAGAACAATTAATTTCTTATATACTGGAATGACAAAACACAAAGATAAGCATATGATATACGACTGTGGGAAAAAGATACTGTATTTTATAAGAAATTTACAACAATAAACTATAAATTTAGACTAAAGTTTTGGTGAAATCTCTTCCTACCAGGTTGGAGAAGAACCATAAGAACTTTGAAGCAAATAATATCTTTGATAAATAGGTACATTATGAATGCGAACAAGGGACCGATTGAACAAAATTATCGTCCTGTTGTCCACGTGCCAAAAGTGGACAAAAGTACCGGACAACCAATCCCTCAGTGGAAACAGCAGTTGATCATGACGAAAATGTCCAAAAAGATGGAAGAAGAGCAGCTTTCAAAGAACGAGGTGAACAACTGATAAAGTTTTTATGTTGTGCTGACTGAGCATTTGTGTGTGTCGTTTAGTGCTTGGTGATTAAGCATTTGCGACATTAAAGAAAACCTTTAGTAAAATAGGAAAATAGAGCGTACAATAGCTGTTTACCAGTGAAGGCTAGTGAATGAGTGCTTATAATTTGTTTATGTTTTTGCCAGTTTTCAATTGAAGATGATCTATACTGAATCACCGAATTATTTAATTCTTGCACATATGTAGTCTACCCGGTATTGAATCTTTCTATTTATCCTGCATTCGGCCCAAATTTTTATGGATTTATTGTATTTCAGGTGAATGGAAACAATAATGGACTACCTGAATGGAAGAAAGAGGTTCTTGCCAAGCGTGAACAGAAACTGTAAGTTCGTTTTAAAGAAGCATGTCTTTAAAGATTTAAAGCTGCACTGTAAAATTTATTTGATATGAGAGTCTTTTGTGAACCTGCTTTTATAAAGGCCTTTTTTAAACCATATATATATTCATTTTTGTAGAAATTTTAAGAGAAAAATTTTTCTCTGGTGTTATTACCCATGGTACCAGAGCCTCATACAATATACAATGCAAGAGTTGTGGCCCAGGCGGAGAAGCATTACTTTACTTTTTCTTGCGAGTTGTGTTTCGTACACTCCCGCTGCTTTATTGGAAAATACAGCACTGGTGGTTTTCTTCATTCACACCTTCGTATTTGAAATGCAATGTCGTGACCATTGATTTACCCTTACGGCAACCGAAGAGCTAGTATTTACAAAGTTTTTACCACAACTAAGAACAAAGTCAAACATAAAGGGGACAGCTGGCTTAGGGGCTTGCCCTTTGTAACCACTTGACTTTGTTCGTCAATCAGTTAATGAAAATTTGCTGATTGTCGCTTGATTGCAGACCTGAGATTCCATAAACAGCAGGCAGATTTGCATTTGTAAATCTTTTAAAAGATAAATTACAATAATACCAACATAAAAATTGGTAAGGCAGGTTAATTGCTGTCTTCGAAAAACTGATATCAGCGAATTTCTGTTGAAAAAGGTTCTATTTTGCACAGTGGCGTACCCAGGGCCGGAGTAGTGAGGGGGGAGGTCTGGGGCGGAGTCCCCAGAATTTTTTTTGGACCACGCCCTTCAAACACTCGCAAATGCGGAAAAATGCCCTTTTTGCAAAATTTTCCGCCATTATTTCATTCTTGTTAACTGCAATAAATAGCAAAGTATTTTACAATTGTTATTGACACAAGCATACAATAAACTACACCTCCCCCAGTGAGTTTTACATCGTTTTTGGACAAATCTCGAGGATCATATTTTAGAAAAGTGGGGGAACCGGACCCCCCTATTCCCCCCCCCCTTGGGTACGCCACTGATTTTGCAACTTTTGGCTTAAACCTCTAAGATATTATAGGATGTAAATAAGATGTAAAACTGGACGTTTTTGTCTAAGACTTGCACAATTTTTTGTAGAATGACCTCCGAAGATCCAATATTAGTTAGAAAGAGGAAAATTAAGTCATTACGAGAAGAACAAGAATCGCCAAACGTCCCACCGTGGAAGAAAGAACTCATTAGAAAGAAGATTGACCATATAAAAGAAGAAATAGAAAATCTGGAAAGACAACAGATGAATGGGCAATGAAAGTAAAAGTAACTGGGAGGTTTCTAAAAGAGAAACGAAAAAGATGTGCTTAATTTTGCTGAAATTACAATTACAACTTTAGTGATAACAGAACAGCGCAAAACGAAAATTTAGTAATTGAGTTTTCCAATTTCCAACAGAGTTTGTTTGACATGCAATTTTCTTATAGACACTACATATAACTCGCCGTTCACCATAGTGCAAAACAGAGTAATTACCTAGTTGACGATTGCAATTCAAATAATTTAATTTTGCTACACGTGGAGAGTTTCTCAAATAGCTTATGTAGTATTTAAATTAACAACTACTTTTTCATATGAAACATAGATTTAGTTTGAATTTTAATCTCTCTTTACATATATCAAGGGAATATGTGCTATGAACTATGAATAATGAAGCATATCTCTTGTCACTCATGATCGAAACATTCAGAGGGACAAGCAAAAAATGGCTCATTAGAGAAAAAGCTCTTTATCGTGCTTTCTAGTACATGCTATTAGTTAAATAACGTTGCAGAAGTTTTTATTATTGAAAAAGGCATTTTTTATTTATTTTCGCCATTTCACCATCTTTGCTATAGAATCAACTAAGCTGAAATAACAAGTACGTTAATATATTGACTAGGCCTGTTTGTTGAACAACAAACCTACAATAAATGCCAAAAGTACTTGAAATACCCAGCAATTTGCGTTCTGTTTTTATGTTTTTTCAATTTTTTTTCCTGATTCTCCTATTTGCGCACCCCCTTCCCCCCTAAACAATGTTGATAATATAAGGAAAACACAGAAGTCGCAGAAAAAGCGTTCTTCCTAGTCCCCTACGTCGTTTTGTAAAATTTGCTCCCGAAAACTGACGTTAGTGTACCAAGACTTTAGGCAAGCATTGTAGAATCAGTGATGACTGCTATCAAGCTAAAATTAACCGAGCTATAGCTTTCTACGTCTAAAACAATAAAACTCAATGTAAAGCTATGGATAATAGCGAGAAATTCTTGCATTGATATTAAAAAGGATAACCAAGACCTTCTGTGAGGGCTGCAAAGGACTCATTTTTGTCTGCTCAATTGCTCACCAAGAGTTGATGAAATCGTTTGCTTCACTTGTCAAATGATGTTTCATTCCTAGTAACCTTCTGTATGCTTCATGGAAAAATGAAATGTCGCTTTACTTCTTTATGCAGTTCAATTGTTTAATGATATGATAACCCGCATACAAACGAAAATTGGGTACATCGTAATCAGTTGTATTTAACAATCTATTTCACTTTGGTGCAAAAAAATATTTGCTTACTATATGGTCGTTAAAAAAAAGCATATCGGTAGAATATAGAAGGTTTGGTTTATGAGAGAATTTTAGATGTTTTGGAAAAGCCTAACTGCTGGGCAAAACTCAGCCAAATTGTGAGTCACTATTAGATAAGTAAAACATTGTTCCTAGGAAAGCCATTAAATGAAAACTCAGGCATGAATATATCAGCTTTGAAAAAAGGCAAAGACTCGAAAATACTTTCGGATCGCTTTGTATAACTTCCTATTTTTTGGGTTACCTTTTTTGGTTTATTTGCAACATTGTTTAACAGCGTTCAACAAAAAACACGATAAAAAAACAATATTTCTAGCCAATAAAATGCGATATTACCTTGTGCTGTGTCCTGCAGAACTGAAAATGCCTCTTCTCTAATATCCAGCTCAAGGGAATGAGGGATCTTATAAAAACAAATAAATTACTTTACAAACATTAACAAGTAAGTGGAATTTAGTTGAGAAAATTTGACTTGATCAGTATGTCCTACAGCGTCATACAAAAACTCAAAAGTATTTACGGACACCATGCCAGATTTAACAATTCCTGGGTAAAACATTCGCGACAAAAAGTTTCTTGAGGAAATGGTTGCTTGAAGGACATTTGGGGAAAAAGAAAAACAATTCAATTCAAGCAATTACAAGTTTTTGAACATAATAGACTTAATATTAAACTCATTGTACAGCCTCCCTCCTTCAACTTTTTTTCTTAAGTATGATATCAACATTGTTGTATCCTTGAGTTCTCCTCTACCCATTAGACATGAACAATAAAATGGACATTGTTGATCATAAGGTAAAAATGTAATTGTTGTATTAATCTATGGATAGTTCCATTACTTTGGATATTTCCATCGATCCAAAGGGTAAGGCATCAACCACTTTGAGGATCTAAAAGCATTAGATTCAATTTATGAGTGATTTACCTGGGTCTTCATTCTGTCGAGAGCCAAGGAGAGGCATCTTGCATGTTCAGGTGACTGTGGAAATAATTTGTCACATATTGAATAGCATTCTTAGAGGATTCAAGAATTCGCAAGAGCGTATCTGATTTATAAAATAGCTTCTGATCGTAGTTGAAGGTCTTGGTACATTATCACCTAATAAGAAAGTATTGAATATATTAAAGAAGAAAGGCTAATCAGAGTTCAGTGACGAGTCTCTGAAAATATTTGAGGATCTTACAGCTAAGTGGGCACTTTCACCTGCTGGAAAAGAGACTTAAGCACCAATTAAACAAACGCTGGAGAAATTAATTCCCTTTGAAAAAGGAAATAGAGTAAATTATCTTAATATAACTAACAGCAAACGAGAAAGTACGTATTTTAATCAGAGACAAACTGTCAACCAAAATTACTTGCTGAATACTGTAAAATTGCTAGTGCTTCAATAAAAATATGTCTTTAACATTTTCCTAGTAATCTAGGGAATATTTTAAAGAAACTATAACTTCTATTCTCGAGTACCCCGTTGAAATAAAAAGATTTGCTACTGTGACAAGATCCTAGCGAACCCTAGCGTAGTTAGCTGCAACGTCGAGGGTGCTTCGAAACTAGAAAACAATATGAAACAAACTTTGGTTCAAAATTGGTGATGATGGAACTTATATTATTATTATGCCACGGGTTTTACATTACAGTATCAGCGGCCAATTGACTCAAACTACCAATAACGCATAAAATAAGTCAAATACCTGTGCTATGCTTTTCTTAGGCAATTCCTTCTTTGCCTGAACAGTGAGGCGTGATAACGGTGAAATTATAGCCTTACTTGCCTTTAAAGGCTCGCTTTCTTGGATGTTTTGTGAAATGCTTCTAGACGTGCGTCTTCGAGGAGATGCCTTGAACAAAATATTGACTTCAAAATCAAAGACACTCTTACTTTACAAATTCGGAATACTGACGTTGATTATAGGCGTAATTTCTTGTCATCTGGTGGTCATGTCTACAAAGTTATGCACTAAGAGCTTTTGACACAAATGAAGGGCATAGAAAAGAAAATAAGGAGGGAAGCTTCCATCGACAGGACATGGATACGGTCTGAATAAAGTTTACAAAGCTTCTACCTAGGAAACCGTACATTAAAATTCAAAATTTCATCTGAAGAAAGGCTGCCTTAAAGAACATACCAGGATAAAGGTATGTTTAATTACACAGATTGTTTCCTACTTTTCATACCTAAACAGAAACTTCACTAAGAACTAACCGGCCTCTTTCTGTCGACAGTAACAGAGCCTCGTTTACGTACAGTCGCCCGAAAGTGGGATGCGATGCTGTCCTCGTTGTCATCATCATCGTTGCCATCAGCAACAGCATCCTCGTCTCGACCTTGTACAATATCATGGTTTTCGTAACTTTCTTCGGAGGTAGCTTCCATTTCTTGGCTATCATGATAATCATGGAAGGCAACGACAATGTTTGGCAACATCGGTGGTTGCCCAACAGAGCTAAAATTCTCTCTGCATTCTGTCCTGATAAGCGAATTTTTAAGAATTTAGGGATGGAAGCAAATCCGGCCCAATCTTTAAATGCCACTTATGTAGAATCTAAACACAAGAGGGTTGGGAAACTCCTAAATCTTGGATCAGGTTTATTAAAGAGCCCCCTGAAAAGCGGCCTTTGCCGGCTGGGTTACCGTGAATAAAGAATGAAAAATGAAATGAAAGCTGTTAAGCAAATTAAACAAGATGACGTCATGCACTCACCTAGGTTTAACTCAATAGTAGTGTATGTAGCATTTGGTTTCCAAATATTTCTTTCTTGTTCAAAACATTCCAAAAGACATTAATCTATTAGCCTTTCAAGAAGTTAAATATAGATAAATCAAACTCAGCAAAACTGGCTGTTAAGCAATTATATTTTGATTTAGGCTAAAATACAACTTTCAGCAGTGATTTACTCACTTGTTTTGTGAAATATCTTCTTGATCATTGTCACTTTGAACCTCTTTCGAGTATCCCATTGACCCGCTTACAAGAGCAATACAGGGAAGGTCAGCCCCATTATCAATTAAAAGCCCCTCTTTCTCAACCTCATCGTCAGCAGGCTCTTCATTGATAACTTGTTCATCCATTTGACGGTCGTCGTTAATTTTTATCAAGACCTCGCTTGGCATACACAATTTTCCATTACAACTAGTCTCCACTTTTCCGCTTTATAAACATTCGAAAATGGAACGAAGAAAATTGCCGTCATCTTATTCGAAAAAGATGGCTTTACCAACTATCAACTATGGCTTTACAAAAACCTGCGCGGTATGAAGTGAAGTTAAGGTTTGGTCAGTAAATCTTGTCCACAAAACCTTTAGTTCGGTAAAATTGCCTATTGGTAGGTGAAATAGCACCCAAATGTCCTTCACAGAGCTGTTAAGTTTCAAATTTTAAAATGAGCAGAGGTGGTGCATCGGAAAGGACTGGGGAGAAATTTTTCTCCGATATTTTCAAAGGTGTAGACCCGAAAAGAACATATAAGGGGTTAACAGATTATGACAATTATTTTGTACATATTGGTTAAGAAAAAAATTATTTTCCCAGATTGGGAAATCCCTGTCTGTTGGTTCATGTGAACGCACACCCCACAAGGTGACAATTTTCTATAAGCATTTAAAGGCTGATATGCCACAAGATTGGAAGATCTTGTAGAGTTTAGCAGCGAGTGAGAAGCTGCAGAACTTTTCAAACTTGCTATTTATCGTAAACTTTCTTAGTCAAACCATTTTTGCAATAAAATTTTATTAAGAAAGATATTCAGGAACAAAGCAATACGACGACGAGAATCCAATGTAACGAGATAAAATTTTTAAAAATAAATTAAATTTAAGGAATACTAATATTTCGCAACGGCATACAGGGCTTCATCGGAGTAATTTATCAATTAACTATTAAATTTCTATCAAATTTACTCGATTCAAAAGTTTTCTGTTTTAAGAAGCGTGGTTGTAACGGTGTTGACTTGAAATGTGTAATCTTGTTTTTAAAAAGGGTGTGGTTGCAAAAATATCATAGCTTCTTTCTCTAGATTCCTCAGTCCTCCTAGTTTTTGGGGGCCTCTGAAAGAGAGCAAGTGATGTAAAAAGGTATAGAGAAAATACCGGAAAGTTTGTCTCTTCATCCATGTCTTTATCGGTAAATTTTACTATTTTTCCGGAAGGTCAAGATACGCCTCTGGCTGGCTTTTTCAAATTTAATACCACTTTCCACTCTGAGAGATTGTATGGTTTCTTGTCCGCTTCAGTTTTTTACTTGTAGGCTATTGAGGTGTCTGCACAACGAGAAGCGGTTGGGAGTCGGTCAGAAAAGGAATAAGCCCGTACAGGGGCTAAGGAAGGGGGTTGAGAAAAGCAAACTTTTGGGCGTACCCATTGCCATTTGGACGTCTCGTTCACTATAGAGCAAATAAATGGAATATTAAAACTGCTGATAATCAACCAATGATTCTCCCCATTTTGGATTGGCTTTTTAAGTTCATTCCAGCTATTGGGGCAAACTTTAAGTGTCTATTTGTAATATCTTAGGATCATACCACATTGAAGGATTTCAACTTCAATTTCATCGTTTATGTTTAATATTATCACGTACCACAAACGAAGGATTGGCACTCAGATATTTGACAATTCTTTTCGAAACCCATTTGTTGACTAAATTACATTACAAGTCTTATTATCTTGTTTAAATCCTAAACTCAATTGAAAAATATCTAGCTTCTTTGAACAGTAATACATTTAACTGAGAGCAAACGCCACTACATATAGCAGACCAAACAGCAAGTTTAATTTGGCTGTATTTTGTGCTATAAATGTAAGTCTCTTAAAGCGAAAGTCCTTTTCAAGGTTTAATGCCATTTTTATGGTCAGCATTGGTAATACAAACAATACAGATATATGCATAACAAATAGGAGCATTATCAGATATGGTACGAATACCAGTACACAATATAACAAATACGATAACTTGAAGCCAAGCATGATTGCAAGGGTCAGTACATTTGCCTGTAAGTCTGCTTTGATGTCCCTTGTATTGTTGCTATGAAGGATTGCCTCTGTATTCATTACCAGTGGAATTGCATACAAGAGAGGTGATATAGAAAGATGGTGACACTGAACCAAATATGCGTAGAGTACTGATATTGGACCAAATGTAAGGATGATGACAAGATCTCCAAGGGCATAATACTTCAAGCCAATGCTACCTGAAAAAAATAAGTACAATAAGATGATATATTTTTGATGAACCTTTAAAATATTGTATATACATTACATAACCATTGTGATGCATGAAATCATAAAATGTAGTAAATTTACAAAATTTATAGCAGTAAAAGTCAATTTTTGTCCTATACCAGGGTCAATTTACAGTGACAGACATTTAGTCAAATACTTTGAGGGGAAACAATTGTATTGATAAGATGATTTCACATTTGTTCACTGTTTTAAACAAAAGACCTTTGTCTTAAAATATATTTGGGGGGTGGTACCATCCACTTTGTCTGCCCAAGGTGTCTGCCACTGGATATAAACATGACATATCTGCTATATATACGGATGGTTATCCTTTTTAGCACCTTTCTTGGTGTTTTCTTGCAATTATTCAATTTTCTAAATTTCCAAATCAAGGTCCTAAAAATCCCCTGCATGAGTAGGATTTAAACCAACAAAGGTGGTACCAGTGGCGGACACCTGGGGGGGAGGGGGCAAGGGGGAGGTGACGGCCCCCCAATACTTTAAGGACAATGGTCTTTTATACCAAAACAATGGGAAAAGTGCCTTTAAGTAAGTACCTTTCAAGCATTAGATGACAAACCTGTGTAAAGAAAAGAGCCTGACATTCCAGCAAAAAACAACAAAGCAAGGTGATCAACCCTTGCAGGACATGTCAAGAGAGTTCCAAGAAATGCCAAACACCCAATGATGTAGATGCCAACGCCAAATCTGACAACTTCATCTGGCTGCAGCACTTTATTGACAAGAGTTTTGTCATCTGACTCCTTGCTGTCAATCCCTCTTATGAAATCATAGTATGTGTTGACTAAATTTCCAGCACCATGAACTGTTAGAATTGAAATACAAGCTAATAATGCTGACACAATACTCAGGTTGTGTGTTTCTTTCCATGCAATCACGGTTCCAAGAATAACTGGGACAATGCTGGCTGAAAATGACCATGGCCTCAGTGCTTTTATATATTTCTCAAAGGGTAATTCATACTTTTCTTTACAACTAAATACTTCTTGACCAGTATTGGAGCTCCTATCTTCTGTATTGTTTTGGGTTATTCCTTGACTATGTGCTTCCTCTTTGTTTTGGCTTTGAAGCCCATTGGCTCTAGACTGGGTCATTTTTCAAAGGAGCTCCTAGAGGTAGAAAGGGTAATGATTATTAAGGATGATTTCTTTTTCAGGAAAAATTTGATTGTTTTGCCATCAAGAGCTTGCTTTATTTCAAATTAATTCTATGGAGTTCTTAGTTCCACAGAAATACAATTAAGGCCAACTAGAGCCCCTAGTATAGTAATGACTCTTAGATATATACAGTTCCCAAGAAAAGTGTAATTAGCATATAATCATAATGAGCAAAATTGATATGATTCAAATATCTTCCCTCCCACAACCGTCCTCTACATAGATCATACTGCACTTGCCTTGAAGTGACTGAAGGTAACCCTTAGGAATTCCCTGTAAAACTTCACCCACGTTGTGTATTATCACGATTATCACCAGTTCTGTTTACCTTGCCTCGCATCGATGTTAGTGGTATGTGTCGATCCGAATCTTGTACACACAGTTGAAAAGAAAATATTGAATGAAACGTGAGAATGATCAAACAAATTCAAGTTACATAGCTGATCTTATTTACGACTTCACATCTAAAGAAACAGAATGAGAATGAATCGATGATGACACGAGCAGCCTCAACTCAACCTCCTTATTGTTCTTGCCTCTTTTTCAAATCCCGACTTCAGAAAATTGGAAAACAAAATGAGTGCTAGTTCCAACCAACATACATCCCCAACATAGAAAAACATGGGTACAAAAGTTATGTACACACATTTACCACAAGATGAGGATGGCGAGAGTAGCTCTTACTTTGGCAAATCTGTCCTCAAATCAGAAGATTCTGATGTAAAAACCGGATGGTGCAAGTGCTCGCTCTGCAAAGTCCTTTGCCTCGTCCTGCTTGTAATTGCAGTTTCAGCTTGTAAGTATAGAACGAACTTGCGATAGAGCCCCTACAATAGTTGTAAAAATGTACTATATTTTCTTTATAATAGTGTATAGTGTACTGAATAAGGAACAATACAATAGGCAGCCCCCCTTTCTGAATTTCGATCCGAAGACACTTTAATTTTTGTCATCTTGTCAAAGATTCTGACAATGTGCCTTAAAGCAGGTTTAACTAAAAACAAGGAAAGTGTGTCCACATTTTGTCAACATCCTTTCTATCTAGCTTTGGGCCCTGGTACACTAGCTAGGAGGAATACTCAAACACCACGGAGTAATTAAATCGTTTTACCTATTGTCTTGTAGCAACAGCTGTTAGACTGTGATGTAAGCAGTGTAATGTACCTAGGCAAATTTGTCCTTACTTGATTTGCCAATTTTCAACTAATTCCTCAAATCTTCAATTACCCTACCTTGTTACGAGTCTGCCCAGGGCCGTCACTGTTTGGGACCTGAGTGGTATGACCCCCCCCCCTTTAAAAAGGAGACCTTTTGTCATGTGAGGGTGCCTACTCTGTAAGATTTTGAACCTGTCAGAGAATAAAGGACATACAGTGGTAGGGTGAAGTGATGATGTCATAAAATCTATTTTTGATTTTTTAAAAGAAGACAGTGAATTACCTGTGTTAATGTGCAATATCAGTTAAATGTGTTACAAATGGATGGATCTGAGACATGGTTTTGGAATGATCCGGTTTTGTTATGGATTACTATCGTTTTACCTGGGGTGATCTTTAGATTCTGGACCAAATGATAGTGGTTTAATGGGGGCAATAATTGTACTCATCTGGCCATTATATAAAGCAATCTGTAAGAGATCTAGCCGATTTTGCCCATTTAGATGTTTTTCTTTGTGGGCATGTCTTCAAAATTCATAAATTTTTATTTCATTGGTTACAAAACATTTATAAAATACATTTATACATCCAATACATGGACAATTTCAAGAAAAAAAATGAAGACAGGTTATAGACAAGGTTGAAAAGCAATTATGCAGGAAAAAATATGTTTCATTTTTGTTTACTATTGGTCTGCTCTTTCTAATACAGACCAATCTGATACTATAATTGAAATTAAAACCATGAAAATTTATCTGTGTCTATTGCCTCTGTGGTATTTATCCTATTTAATTATAGAATTATCAAGCTTCCTCTAAATCCATTGCAGCTTTTATGGCAATCATCAAAATTAGAATGAGAATCTAAAAACTATATGTTATTATATCTGTTGATATTTGTTACAATTTTAGTAACGATTGCTACACATTGCCATTTCAGTTACTGTCCATTTCTATGGTTATAAAAACAAATCCTCTATTTAAAGTTTTCAAATGATCATGTTTAAGTGAATGCACCAAGGTAAAACTCTAAACCCCAATTTGAGCAAAAAATCTTACTTGATAATCCCTTGATGAAAATAAGCAAAGAACTTAAATATGACATATTGCATAAATTATCATTTCTGTTTGATTCTGAAGTGCAGTTTCTTTTTCATAACAGTTTATGCAGTTTCCTCGATGAAAACTTCACGTAATACATCAAAATTACCATCAATTTCAAAAGAAGAAAAGGATGCCATGAGTAAAGCCGTTATGAGGCCTAACTCCCATCGTTTTGGAACAAACTGCAAGCATCCTGTTCGGAAGGAGCTAAGTGACATTTTACTGGCTATTAATTTTAATCACCCTTATTATTCAAATATACCAATCCTCCAAAAACTTTACAACCATGTTTTCCCACACCAAGTGTATTGTGGGCCGACAAAAGATCCAAAGAAAAAGTATAAGATTATTGAGGTCGCACATCCTGTCATGCAGCGTGGTTTCTATGGTTACCATTGCCTTGCGCTTGCCATGAAAGCTAGACCAGGATTTACTGGCTATTTATATGTCAATGACGATATGATAATCAACTGGTGGATGTTCCTTGATTTAGACAAGTCACGGATATGGGTAGGAAAGCTAGCATCGCTTGGCGAGTCCACACATGTTGGAGTTGCACCAAAATCACAATGGTGGAAGCGAGCAGATGTGGCAAGACGATGCACCGAAGCTTTCCTTGAAGTAGAAACCGAAAAAAGCGAGTCATTGTTGAAACAATATTATAGAAACACTGAAAATGAGAGAATTTGTGTTAATGGGTGGTCAGATATATTTTATATCCCTTCACACGCCTCAGAAACTTTTGTGGAACTATCAACAATTTTCTATGACCATTTAGTCTTTGTAGAAGCGGCAGTTCAGATGATTTTATTCTATTTAGATGACAGGGACAACTTTGTTCTTTTAAACGGGAAGTATTTACCAGATATATTTGGTTATGGAGTTGATTATGGATTGCCAGGGCTAGCATGGCAGGTTTATGATCGCGAAGTCACTTTTATACATCCATATAAATTGTCGTCAAAAGAAAACCGCGAACTATTCGAAGACATTCTTTTGCAAGTCAGTGACGTGGTGGTGAGAACTTCGTGCCTGGATATAGTCCAGGAGAACAAACTAGCAAAGAAGAAAAACAATTTCAAATGGAAATATACTTTTAAAGGAGACTGGTCGAAAAATCAAAGATGAGAATAATTTTTGTACTTATTTTGTAGTGTTGGTTTTTTGATACTTTAATGTAAACCTGTATTTTATATCTATCAAAAGTAACTGGTTCATGTTTCGCTTTATTGGTTGCCGTATATCACAGATATTTTCTTTAATGTTAATAGGTTTGTGTGTAAGCAGCAATTCATATGTTCGCTTGATGATGCTAGGATTTCTAGCAACCATCGACCCTTCTGCTATGTATGTGGTATGACGTTCCCAGCAAAGCCATTTCTAGTTTTGCTCTTCTGAGGTTCTACCCAATTCACTAAAATTGCCTTTTTGTGTGCAACAATATTTTATAAAGGCACTATATGAATAGCCTGTGAACCGTTTAAGAATGACATATTTTTCGTTCTCAAGATCATTGATCTGTTTTAGGGCAAGCGATTGGGGCCCAATTTACTTCAGGTGTATGTCATGCCTTTTTACCCCCTGGCAAACGTCTGAAACATGGCATAGTAGTGTAAGAATCCCGTAAGCCTGTTGCACCACCTTGATGATCGTTGGAATGCAATCATTCAACGATATGTCCTCTCGTGAGATATATAGACCCAGATAAGATATCTGAACTATATTTCAACAAAAGTAGGCCAAACAGAGAACAGCAAAACTGAATTTCAGAATCTTCAACGAACTTTACGCCTCCATAGCAGTTTTAGGATACCTATCTGCCAACTAACTGATAACCAATCACTGAATCTAGTTTGGGGGATTTCAATGTGTAACAGCCAATCAAATTCACTGGAGTCCTCGGAACACAAGACATCCCCGTAATGACCCTTTAGCCAATCAGAATTGAGCTTCTTAAAACTTCAGCACTACTGAAAACATTCCCTTTCATCAAAATTTAGGCAAGCTAACCACCATTTGAAAGGAACATTTATACATTTTATAACTACAGAAGCGAATGCTTGGTGAAACCATTTGAAATCTATAGATTTTATCAAGTTACCGTTTTATTTGCAGGCTAATCAAAATATTGGTTTGTCACATATTCTTCTTCTAAATCGGGCTGGAACCCAGTAGAGTTACTAATATAGTTTCGGGAGGTAAAAGGGGATTGGAGTGGTGTTTTATTGAATTGAGAAAATATTTCCAAGAAGGATACAGTGCAAAGGCCATTTCATAAGTTTGACAGAGAGCAATGGCCTTTTTATCTGCTATATCTCTAGGTCAAGAACATGTCAGAATAACTCTGTCAAGATCTGTCACCATTTTAGCTATAACGAGATCTTGTTTAATTCTTCCCTATTGTCGTGGTATTTCGACTACGATTACTAGGATTGCGATTTGTCTAAAATGGGCTGGTTGAGAGTTTACTGAGGCTCCAAAGGAAGGTTGCCTGAATGGTGGATAAGAGTTTCGTGTGGAGCCTTGATGCCTTTGATGAAATGAGACCTTAGGCTTTCAGCCATTGAAAAGCCATAGCTTTAGCGATTAACTAACTCATGTCATTAGGGTTAGGGCCATGGTTTAGGGTTTTGACTTACGCCATAGATGGTATTTAGAAAACAAGATCCCCATTCTCAAACAAATGTTATATTTAAGTGTCGCGTTACATCAAGTACTGGAGACAGTCCTTTTACCAACAAGAAAGAGAACTTTAACCCTAGTGTTTAAGAATCACCAAAATGCAGACTAGTAACAATAACAATGTTACCTTATACTACATCTAGCTTTGTTTTATTATAATATAAGCTTCGAATTAGTATTCAGAAAATCTTTTATGCATTTTTGTACTAAAAGTTTACTAATCGATCGGTCGGGTATGGCATAAAGGCCTTTTTTATAAGTTACAAATATATTACCTCTCATGAAAAGCTGCTTCAAGAGTTTTAGTAGGAGTCCCTGTTCTTGAGAAGACTGAGTAGAGGAGTAGACGACTTTTTACGATCTACAAGATCATTAACAGATCCTATTCCGATGCTGAATCAACCAAATTATGCTTTTTGCAATCATCCCGTTGTTGGACAAATTAGAGCAAGAACTGAAAAATATAATTCAAGCTTTCTCCCCAACAGTTTGCATAAAAGGAGTAATTTCGACCCTGAAATCAGAGAATCGCCTTCCATTGATATATTCAAGAATAGATTGCTGTCGATTATTAAACCACTCCCTAACTCTGTTTTCGGTATCTATGACCCACAAGGGCTTTCTTTATTAACTCAACTTAGGGTAGGGTTCTAAATTTCCACAAATTCATTCATAATTTTAGTGAAACAATCAACACGATGAGTCCGATCAACGATGGCCTCGATGATACGGAGCACTTCATATTGTCATGGCATTCTTTTGAAGAACAAAACGTGACCTTCTCGCCACGCCAGTGTCACTCCAGTACTGCGCTCATTTGAATTTGCCAATGTTCCAAATCTTGTCCTTTTACGGATTCTTTTGTACGGTGACAAAAAGTTGCCATTTAAAGTAAATAAATTCATTCTGGAATCTACTTTCCTGTATATTTCAAGAACGGAACGCTTTGATTAATAATATAATCATTTTCATGAAATTTCCCTAAAATCTTGTGCCTCACCCACTTATTTGTTATTTCCAGTTTTTAAAACGCATAACTTTGTACCTGTAATTTCCTATATATATTTCTTATCTTTTTATGTTAACATTCACTATGTGTACGTGTAGCGTTCGTATTTATTTGCCTAGTCGCATGTAATGTTCATGGGGTTTTCATTGTCCTTTGCTCCCCATGGTAGCGTACCTGTAGTATATCGTAGAGTAATTAGCAAGTATATTGTTAAAATGTATTTTGTATTGTAATTCTTTATCTGGATTTAAAAGAAAAAGTTTACTAAGGGTTTCCTAAAACTAAATGATAAAGCTAGTTTTTGAAAATGCAAAAACATAGCAAGCATAAGGTAACATAGAAAAAGAACAGCTAATAGGTCAAAGACGTTTTTTTCCAATGTCTATTTCAATTGAAGAGGAAATAGGTGCCTAATCGTGAAAACGAGGGTATAATCTTACGGTGGCTTGGTTTCTAATGACGGCTTCCTATAAACAACATACGATTTTCCCAAAGACATGGGGTATACGAAGGTTTTGGTTCATAGACAGAAATGTATCCGCCATTAACAACATGGCTCCAGCCTACCTGAAAGATACGTTGAGGTTACAAACCAGTGACAGATACAAATTGAGGTCAGAAAAATCTGTGGCCTAGTTCCGAGGACAAAATTTAAATTTCGTGGGACACAGCATTTTGTACTGCAGCCTTTAGGCTCTGGAACAAATTACCTGTTGACATTAGAAGATCTCAGAGTGTCTACACTTTCAAAACAAGATTGAAAAGGTAATTTTTTGATAATTATTTTAATATATGAAAAACATTTTCTTTGAGCTTTTCTTGCTATAATTTAAAGATATTTTTAACACTAATTTGTTCAGCGCTTTAGAATATATGTATATAGATTTTAGCATTCTATAAGTGCAAGTATTATTATTATTACTATAATTATTATTATGCTGATGTACACAGTTCTGATGTTATAACTGGCTTGTTCTTGATGTTTCTTGAAATCGGATCAATACCCATGATCTTAGATTTCGAAAACTTTTCTCAACACTCTTGCAGTTCCTAAAAGTACAGATTTTTGTATTAGTTTTATCTGCGTCTTGACTCCGATTTCCTTGATGTTTATTATTGATATTATTATTATTATTATTATTATTATTTTTATTATTATTATTTTTGGTTTAGTGCTTTCGCAATTCAAAGAGTACTACTGTTGTGTGTAAGGGTAATATGAGATCAAGTTTAGTTTGCTCAGGAATCTCGCAGCTTTTGTTCCGGCATCCACAGCATTAGGCATTGTTCGGATTTCTATCATTCATATCTCGATGTTTACAAAAGTCTCCTAATGGTTTTATTTCGTTAGTTTATCTACATGTAATTTGAAAAGGAACTTAAATATGTTTGCCACAAATCTACATTCATTCACACTACAATGCAAGCTAGCAGCGTGGATTTTGCGCATGCGTAGCTGAAAACCCAGCAACAGAATAGGATTTATTTTCTCTGATGGTACATCAAGGCAGTTGGAAGTCCTTTTTGTGTCGTTCTAAACGAACCGAAGATTCTATGTCACATGTAAGTGCACGTTTCATCATCATAGACTTTGCTTCAAGTTTAATGTTAAATTCGTTGCTTGGTGTTTCTATTGACCACACATAGTCTATCTATGTAAGATATATTTCTGTCAATTTATTAACTACAGTTTGTTGACCGGTAATGAGGTGAATTGTGACAAATTTTCCGAAAAAAAACTTCATCGAATAACGTCACCGAGAGTTGTTATGCGTAGATTCATCGGGGTTTGAGGGATAGTGGTCAGAAATAGGCTTGAGACACGCAGGACCTCTTCTGTATAGAGTACTCATTCTTCGTGCATGCAAAGAGACACTTGGTTTGGAGATGTACCAGTTTAGATAACTGGCTCCTCCAGGCCGACCCTCTTCTCGATAACCTTGGATAACCACTTCATTTTTACTAAAAATAGTTAATCTAAAACACTCTGCCTGTTTCATTCGTCCCTATTCAACTTACAGCATGAAATTTATGTTTATTCCCGTTCATCGGAGTTCAAAATAACTTTGGAGCCCTTTTTGTTTTAATGGGGATGTTTTACGCAATCACGCATATACGCGAATAGACATTGCCAAGAAACAAGCATTTAACACTGACATACTTAAATGAACTGCATAAGCACAGTCAAAACATTACGAAAAATGTGATGAAAAACATAAAATTATACAATAGAAAAAACCTAACAAGTTACACTTGCTTGATTTTTTTCAGCAAATAACATTATATTTCATACAAAGATAGTTATTTAAACCAACCCTAACAAAAATTCCCCAGGATTATTTGGCGATTTAAGTTGAATATGGTCTTGTACTTTGCCTCAACTTCCTCCCGCATCACGTGATACAGGAACTCCGCTATGCATTGTGGTTTCTATGAATGAATCAAGAGAACACATCAATGGCAAACAGACATTTGAGACTAAAAGCGGTGCGAAAAACTTTATACCTAGCAAACCTACGAAGACTCCACATAGCAAACGTATTTGAAGAAATCCAATTGACTCTAAATTCTCGAGAAAATTTTTGACGGAGCATAATTTTTTCTTGAAATTTTAGCAGGTTCCTACAAAAGTGTTAACTTCCAAGTGGATGCAGACAGATGTTCGGAGAAAGGACAGATGGATTCAGGATTAAGAGCATACCAGGCGAATTTTAGCTTACATTTACAAAGTTCTGCTCTAAACTTTAGCAAATAAACTCAGTTGGATAAAATTGCAAGTGAAACCGGAAAGAAGGTGAAATTCTCAATTATTCTTCAAAATTTACTTTGTTAATTTTGCATTTAAATGCATTTCTCAAGATGAGACACTCCGAATACGAGCAGTTCAAAACAGCCGATCTATTGCACATTGATTGACATTGACAATTCTGCATCGCACAAGACATGTAAAGGACTGTTTCTACGAATAAAGAGGGCAAAAAAGAAGTAAAAAAAGATTAATTGCAGAAAATTAATATTCTTCTAGTTATGGGTACAATAATTGCAGCAAACCCGTGTTTTTTTATCGAGTGAAATATAAAATCCTCAATGTAGAATTGGTTAATTGTTTCTTTCGATCTAGCACTTCTGATCATTGCTAAATTTTCTTAATTCGTAACAGGGCCGTAAATCTGTCTTGTCAGTTGGGGGGGGGGAAGGAGGGGCTCAACAGAGTGAATGAATTTAAAGTGTGGTTCGTCAACTCTGAAATCCACATGAGATTTTTGAGGTAACACAAGGGGAAACAGATTTCTAAATAGTTGTGTCAGTTTCAGAAAAATCCTTCTAGTGATTCTTTCAAACCATATCTAGCAAAAATAAACGTTATTCGTAAATTTCTTTTCTTGAATGCCCGGATTTTTAAACGTTATGAGACAAATATCTCCGATGTGTGTTGTCCAAATTTTATTCAATAACATCAAAACTTTTCTTTCATAGATCGACCCCCTTCAAGTTACCGAAGGTTTTCTCATCCTATCTATCGCCTGAGTGCAAGCCGCCACCACAATGCGCCGCCGTTTAAGTACTTATCTAAACCGACCGTCAACTGGCGGACAACAAACCTCTAGTAGCAGCCTCGATTTGAGTGCCATGCCAATTCAAGATGAGACTGAGGAAAAGGAGGAAACTTATTTTGGTTCAGAAATGGCGTTCGACGAAGTTTCGTCTCCAGTTTTAGCATACAAGTTTTCAGGACAAGATTTCGATCCTGAGAAATGCAAGTATTCATGATGTTTTCCTTCAGATTTTCCTTTTTAGCATCTAACAAGTAAGACGCAGCTGTAAAAATTGCTGATGTTTTTGCTCTGTTTTTAAATTTTATATGTAGGATTAGAAATAAATATAGGTAGGCCTAATGGTTATATATAGTTATAAGCCTAAACACTTCTAAAATTAAATGAAATTTAAAATTTCGCTTTTCCTGATTTGCATCTTGGATTAACTTTTCAAAAAAGTACAAAGAGTGGCATGTTTTTGAAAGGGTTGTATCTGATTTCTCATTTAAAAAATTGTGCATAATATGATGAAGTACAAAAGTTTTCAGAGCACAGTCACCACCAGATTCTTCCTGAGCTCTGTCAAACTTTACCAAATGCTATTTTTCATTCCAAATGATCTCAACTGCAGCTTTTGACAGAAAGTCTCGCCTAATGTTTTTGGCAGAAGGGACGGAGAAGGTGAACAATCGGAATCTGATAATCCAATTAACCTGGTGTCATACATATCGAGAGGTTTTTTGACTGCATCAACAAATTACAGGTTGCCTAGGGTAAGGGAACACGCTCCTAAAAATATGACATATGAAGCAAAACATGATACCTCTCCAGATTCTTCATGTCTGCCCGAAGGGACTTCAAATGCAGCAAGGGCTATGTCCATGTTTGGAACCTCTAGATGATTTGATGTGGAATGGCCCCTAAATGTAAATGGAGGCTATAAGTGCCACACAAAGTCTTAGAAATTGCCAGTTTGGGGAAAAGTGCACACACTTGCCATTACAACCAAGGCTTAGGATCCAAGCATTTCAATTCAAATCCTTTTTCATTAGGATCAGTTCTCCTTTTGCTACATTTTCAATGTACATTTGAATGCATTCACTTTATTATATGTAGAAGTTACTTTAGGAGGAAAAGAAATATATACATTTTAGACCATTGACAAGACTCATTTTGATGCAAAACACATAAAAAGAAAATGTTTTCCATCCATGCCAATAGTTCGAAACATTAAATTATATTATAGATAAGCTCCAGTCTACATTAGGGGGCTACAGCTCCCCTTTGCCCCCAGGTGTCTGGCAATGAACATATAACTTACCTTTGGAGCATTTTTAATTGTTCTCAAATTTCACATCAGTCCTCAAACCTCATTGAAATCACTGCTTGTCAATAAAAGATTTCAAGTATCTGAGTTCCAGTTTTGTTGTGCTTCAGATGTCAAAAACCTTGTTTCAACATGTGATGTTAAACGCTCTCTTGTGGAGCACCGGAACAAAATCCAAACTCTGAGTGATGAAACTGCAGTTTCCATGAAGAAGAATGTTTATAGAAACTACAGACAGTTCATTGATACATCAAAGGAAATCTCTTGTATCCTTTTTTATCAACATTTCTATTAACTGTTCAACTTAGAATTGAATTTTGTTAGCTAGTTGACATTGTTCTAATCCTGCTTGTTTATATGCATCTATATATCTAAAATGAGTTTGCAAATTTTTCTAGTAGATACAGATTTTTCAATGTGCACCATGGTGTGTACAACAGTAGATATAATGGTGGTATGTGATATGTTTAATTCGCTCCTTCTATGAATGAGAAGTTTGTCAATTTTTTTAATCTCAAAACCCATGTTTTAACAGATAGTTTTATTATTTATGCTTTTTGTGGTATTCAGCCCATTTTTATGCTGGTCAAAGGTCTGTTTATGGTTGTCCAAACCCAAATTGTATTAAAGGGTTTCAATATTTGCCAGATCCTATAAAGTATTGGATGATAAGATTACATCATTTTCTGCCTATTGTGCATTCTTGGCAAAATTATATGAAAATCTCCTGATTGTCTTTATGCATTGTCCTTTACTATTTGTGTAAGACCTGGAGGCTGAAATGTACCAACTAAGTCATATGCTTACAGAGCAAAAAACTTTGATTAATGATCAAGTTGAGATGAATATTTTTGACTCCAGCAAAGGTAAGGTGCACTTGTGTCATCAATTTTGATTTTGTGACTGAATCAATTTGAATCTCTCAGGATAAGGTTTAGATATATATATATATACTTCCTGCAGCCCTGTCTTGTAATGTGAATGTTATTTACTGTAGATAATACATTTTTGGAGAATAATATAAATACTAACCTCTTAATATTTGTTTATGGGGGATTTTCCCATTACCAACAAATAGATTTTATAGTAGGCTAAAAAGACATGATTCCAGAATAGTCTCCTCAGATTTTTGTGGTAAAAATGGCATGATAAACAAAAGGTGTTTTGTAGGATTGTGTTATGCCAATTTAACAAATATGTAAGGTTACTGGTATATGATATAGAAATGCTTAATTTGTATGTAGAACAGAGTGGTCCTCGGTTATGGCTCTAATGGCAAACGTTTTATTTTGCATGCCTAAAAGGAATTGAAATTAATTTATGTATAAAACTTTAACAGAGAAAGAAGAAACAATAGAAGATGCAGTTGAAAGAGGACAAAATAAGAGAGGAGCCAAATTATCAGAAATTATTGCAGGATGTAAGGTATGTATTGTACCTGTTAATTTGATCAATCTTTATTAATGTGGCATTGGGGGATGTTTTGCCACTGAGAAAATTTTAGTTTCACTTTAAATTTGACTTTAATCAATGGTTTTTCTAAATGATTCAGCAGACAGCTAAGTGCAAGCCTCAGGACTTGTTGAAATGATGGGCAGTAATTTGTTAAATTGAAATGCTTTTAAACTACCAGATAAATGTTATAGCCATGAAATTAGAAAAGTAAAATGCATAACCCTCGTTTAGTATATATTTAAGAATATGAAATACTATTCGTCTGTTGTGCCTAAATACATTGTAGGAGTTTATCAAATTTTTCTGCAAACTTTTTAATTGAGCTAAAAAATTGTCCGCTCCGTATTTCAAGAAGCTGCCAAAATTTTTTACCAAAAAACAACAGCTTGTCAGATCCCAAATGTTTACTATTTTTTCTGTCGATGACATTGAAACACTTAAAACATGTTGTGTGCTATGTAAGAAGTTAAATATCATCAAAGATTACTGTGAGAGCCAATCAAGGCAGGTGAAGAAGTACAATTTAATCTTCTAAATGAGAGGGTGTGATTGGATCACAAGAGAAACAGGTCTGCTGTTGAAGGTGTAGGTTTTAAAACGCTGTAGCAGGCTCTTAGGGCAAATTTATTCTAGGGGTCAGTTTTCAATTTGTAAAGTACCACTTTGTTGGTAAACGATTTCCACTTTGGAAAATGAGACTGGGCTGTGCATGAAAAAAGATAAGTTTCATTCTATGTGTAGTAGCCAAAGATATTATCTAAGAATAAAAACTATAGGTATCGCTTCAGAGTTCAGATAAGCATGCATCCAATGAAAATAATACATTGTTGGTTGGTGACACTTTTTGTTTTCGTCATTTTCTCATCAGTTTTATTGACTGCCATGTGTTCGGTGCCTTGGATCGAAAGTCTGTTGTATGCGCTAGGCTGTCACAAAGTCTAAAAAAATTTGTTGGTGCTGATATGAAGTTACAGTGGAAGTCTAATAATTCAGCTGCCTGTTAACCTGAAAGTTTTCTTAATTCAAAATTGTCTCCTCCACAAAAAGAGTAAAAGATTGTAATAGCTCAAAGCTTTGATAATCCAAATAAAATTGATACCCCCTTTAGCTTCGGATGAAATCTTTTCTGTATAGCGTACAGGTAACACATAAAATAAACAACTCGTTAACAAATAGAGATATTATATACAATTTATTGCCAAATGCTTTTCATAAGCAAGAAAGCATTTTGTAAAACAACGATTAACTATTTTATTTACTTTTATTTCAAAATAGGACATAATCGCAAACAGAAGATCGCCTGACATCATCCGGCAAGGTTCTCTGACTGGAATCGACCCTGATTCTTATGCCACATTATCCAAAGTCGAATTGTTCATTCTTGAAGATTATCTTGTGATTGCTTTCCAAGAGCTTGAAAGGTGAATATCTTGTAATATATTTCGAATGTCTATTTTACATAAGTTTCAATAGGTCAAATGGGTCAAAGCACCTGCGTATAAAATCTATCTTCCTGTCATGATCTAACGATCATTTCTCTAAATACAGTGGTTGCGCCATATATTTTCCGACAGTGAGCTTAGATCCTTTTTGCTCCTAGTTTATAGCAATAAATTTTGATTTCCCAATCTCAGACATGAAGACTATGATTGGCAACCGTAGCCCCTTCCCTCATAGCCCACTCCCTGAAAAATGCAAGACAAAACTCTGTTTATCTTAATGAATAATGTTTTGCTTTTTGTGCAAACTTTAAATTTTGCAGTACGACCAGGGTATTTATTGCTCAGCGAAACCGTTTCGTCGATAGCATATCATTTTTATGGGTTCATTCTTAATCAATAAATAAAATATCATTGTTACGTTATTGATATTGAATATTTATTTAGGGATGCTCCAAAGAAATACAAATTTAACACAATGTTTGACTTGAATGATGTTGGGATTGTTAATGTCAGAGATGGAGGTGGTAGGTTCTTGTTTTGTTAAATATTTTCGATGTACAAAGCTTATGTTAAAGCTAATGGGCTTAAGTTAAATCCTGTTGGTTTACAACCAGGCGTTAAAAATTGTATAGGCAGTAAATAGTCGAGGTGCCAATCTTTGGAACTGCTTGTATACAGAAATTGAAAAGACACCCTCTTTCAGAACTATGAAAACATCGTCAAAGAAATATTTCTCAAGTACTGTGTTGAACCTATTGTTTTAAGATAAAAATCATGCTCTTTATTATTACTACGGTCAACAAGTCGGATTGAAAGACAGTTCTATCTGCTGAAACGTGATGTGTCTATAGATATTGTATTTATTCTGTCCTGCAACTGATACTGGATACTGTCCTGAAATTAGCTCGATTTTGTTAACTTTACAATTATACTACCAAATGTGTTGTTTATCACCACATTTTCTCTGACGAAGCCCAATTTGTCATGGTGAGATGTTACTTTCTTCATTATCACTTGTATATTTTCGTTTTTAAAAATTAGTTACTTGTAAGTAAATGTTTATGTGTAAGTAAATGTTTAGTATGTAAACATATAAGATTGATTTTGATTTATTTTTGTTGATTCTGACATTGGGGTTTTCACACGACTCTATTTTCTTTTAAAGGTGTCAGAAACTGCTTCAAAGTCTTGCATGGCTTGGATATATGGATGTTTGGCGCAGAGAATAGAGAAACCAAAGTAATTTATTTTTATATTATTGTAAGGAATCAAACAATTGTGAAAGCGAAACTGTCAATGCAAACCCTTTCTTACTGTTTATTTGCGATCATTTTTCCTATTTATCTGTAAACGCAGCCAGTTCAAAGCTGAAAATGTTAAGCACCTTGCCTGAGTGTCTCTTTGTACCTGGCAATGGCCGTACAGTACAGACTTTTATATACGACCTTTCTTTCGTCTTGCTTATATCCAAGCTGCTGCTTCTAGAACATAAGCATACAAGGATACTGGACTGATGAATTACCCATTGTTTGGTTCTATCAGGCGGAATATCAAATGAACTATCCGATGCATTTTCTTATGCTTGTGTCTACTTTAAACCTTTAAGGAAATATAAATATAAAATTTGCTAATATGTCGCTGACAGCTTGACCTCAAGTCTAAATCATGACACCAAAACAATATCTAAGACTATGTATACTGTCGTGGTTATGTGATTTTTCTTTTCAGATTGTGATGTTGATTTTCCCCAGCTTTTGTTGCAACTTGTGATTAAGGCTAAACAATTTGATTTACCAACAGCTTCAGTGGCTAGAAGCACTTCAAAATGCAAAGAAAGATTACCGGAAAGTCGAGTATATACCACCGTCTCCACAAGTGCAGAAAAGAAAAGCACCTGCACCTCCACCAAAACAAGAGACAAAACGTAAGTCATTTTTGCGAACAAAATTTTTTATCCTATTTCTTTTCCCCCGAAGTCTTTTGTTATCGTAACCAACGACTAGTAAAAATACCTTTAAGCTTATATCCTGCTTCAATTATTACACAAGACGCCTGCGAAAAACAGGAAGTATTTACAGTTTTGAAATAGTATTTACACCACCACCCTACTCCTCTGATTTAATCAAAAGATAACTCTGAACCAAAGGTGTAAATCAAATTGACGCAATGTTTATTATCGATCTGTAAGAGATAATAAAAGCTTTCCAAGATATCTAGCGAGTGAAAAATTTATATTTCTGAAATATTGTCGGCAATGGGTAAACTGCAAACAAATGAGATCTAATGTTAACAGCATTAAATTTCATTTGTCTTTTGAACCAAAGTTGGTCATGAACCTCGTTTAACCAATTCCCTTACTTCTTGTTGATGCTCTATACTACAAATAATGTTAATTCATTGCTGTTTTTGTGTTGCAGCTGAAGAAAAAAAACCTGATGTGAGTGAAAAGCTTTTTGCAATTTCGTTTCTGCCTGATTTTAATAGGTGCTTTATTGTGAAGAGGAGAAATGTTTTGGCGAACCAAAACAACATACGTGAACAATTACAGCCGACAGACCTTTTACTGTCTTAATTTGAAATGAAGGATTTAAAAAGGTTTGGGAATCTTATCACACTAAAAGTATGTGTTTGTCCAGTTTTATATATTTACCTGGAAGTAAATAAGGCCATTAATCTTGCTCTCTAAGTAGGACCCTATAGCAACATGTCATCTACTTTTTCTTTGACACTTGATGATGAAGTAAATTATTCGACAATGATCCAGTTCTCTGCTCTACCATCTTTGCAGGTTGGTTGGCCTACAATAATATTTGTAATGCTAGGGCTCTGGTGCCTATAGCTAAGCCCTCGCAAGGGAAGGGAGGAGGGAATTAAGAAGAGAGAGGAAAGATCGGGCTTGTTTATTCTCGTTTTGAATAAAAACAGGTTTTAAGTGTCCGGACAATAGGAACGGTGTAGTGAATTCTAAAGTTTACAAGATCTAGGGAGGAAGGAAGAGCTATGGGATCGAGTTCGAGCTATAGACAGTTCTATTAACATCTATTGCTATGTAGTTTGTTCTTATTGATAAACCTTTTGTTTTCTACCTCTTAGAATCAAGTTCCTGATTTACTCAACGTTGATTGGCTGATCGAGTTGCCCGATGACCTAGATATGTGCATAGCTCAAAGAAGTTTTGATGCAGCAGTTAAGCTGGTCGAAAAAGGTATTTTATTATCGACAATAAGATTTTGCAAAAACATTTTAAGGATCGATTTATGTTTCCATTTGATGCAGTGGACACAAAAATGCTCAATGCTTGTTAATCCGCGTGTCAAAACTTGTAAATGTTTTAAAAACGGAAACGAATAATAGATACTTAAGTAGATTTGTAGAAATACAGCCAAAGTAAAAATCTGAGATTGAATAATAAAGATTGAACGAAAAATGAAAACTAGAATACATTTACAATAAATTATTACTGTCAATGTTTATAGATATATTACTGTTTTGTTAAATGATGAATGTAGCGTAAATCCAAAATGACGTATTCTATCTCAATTTTATTGCCATTATCTTTATTGCTATTCAATGTTACATAAAAGGTCCTTGTTTTAAACATCCATGTCCTGTAATCTTAAAAACGAACTTGTATCAAAGTACATACTTCATTTGATATTTCATTTGAATCCATGGATGTTAATATCTTGTTTATGGAACTTTTTTCTTAGCCAACAGCTATCTCCAAGATTTCCCGGAAACTACAGGCCTTAAGGATTATAAGTAAGTCTTCTTCAGTCGCTATATACAGTTTAATAGTAATGATTTAATCACTCCTGATATTCTATCTTCCTTGAGCAAGTAATTATTTGATTTCTTGTGGACAGTTCCAGTACTCAAGACTAATCAGTTCCACAATTTATTTCTTTATCTTAATATAAGCGCAGCATTATGATAGCTCAAATGTACCTAAATGACTTTATTTATCAATCATATCCTCCAGGGCCTTTTTTAACATACTAACTAGGGGGGGGGGGAGGGCAATTGCCCCTCCAGCCCAAGTGACTATCCATTGTTCTAAACAATAGGTTATTGTCCTCCTCTTTTTATAAACAAAGGGTTGCCCCCGCAGCTAATTTCCCTCAGAATAGGTTATGATATCCTCCCAGTCCTGGTGCAACCTGAAGTTTATGGCAACTGTAACTGCATATAGTGATAGAACAATGTTGCTTGGGCATGAAACAGTTTCACGTAGAAATGTCTCCTCTCTCTTGCAGAGAACGTATAAATCGGCGTGTCAAGGAGTTGATTGAGGCCTTAGAGCAGTCCCTGGATAATTCTACGACCATGCGTCATATCAGTTTGCGATCAATAAGACAGTACATATCTCTACTGATCAGGCTTGGAAGAGCGAAACTGGTAAGACCAAAACTCGCGAATAAGCTCTGTGCACAGCTGCTATAGAACTGGCTACAGATTTCTGAATCCTGAAGCTCGGTGTCCCTAGATTAACTAGCCCAGTGGTTATCTATAGACTTAAAAAGTTATTTGCCAACCCCAAGAATCACAACAGGTTTTTTATATAGTGAACTGTTGTTTTACAGCAATGCTGAATTTTCCCAATAATTATTATATCCTATTCAGTTTATAGCGTGCAAAAGCAACAGTTTATGGCCCGTACCTTCGATCCTGGTTTAATTTTCATGTTTTTGGCTTTATATTTTTCCATACCTAATCAAATAGTTAGTAATATGCCAGAAATATCGAAAAGTTGTTTTTCATGTGAATTTGGAGATTCCCGTGGTAGTTTGCCTTCTTTTATAACGAAATCTTAGATTTAGAGTTTTATCATACTTTTTATTTATGTTGATATTTTTTCAAATTTGCAGGCCTGTGAATTATTTTTGAGAAATCGAGGATTTGCAATGAAACACAGCATTAGGTATGTGTAAACATCAAGTGGCACATGGGGTAGTGAAGGAAAGAATGAAACGATCTTTGATCAAGTCAACGGTGCACAACTGTTGGCTGTATTAGATATTTTTTCGAAAAAGTACTTGTGAAATACGTTATAAAGTGCCATATTGCAGATTACTTTTAACTGTATACGAACGTATCTCGCTATAGTGTGTATAAGAGGTTGTATCTAAGTTGCAGCTCCGATTTTCACGCTTAATACGATCTTCAGGCAAATGTGATCGTAAGGATTACCTAATGTCTATCTACATATAAGGATGTGTAAATTTTTGTAGCAATTGTGAATTTTAACGGTATGTAACCCAACAAGGTGGTTCTTACCAATAACAATACCAACTTTGCATGCCAAGAAGCACCAGTAGTATTTAAAGTTACCGTGAAAGAATTACTGTCCATTCTTCACTATAAATGCAGCCTTAGAAAAAAAAGAAACGAGAAATTTAGCTGCAAGCGTTGATCCTTGTTACAAATCTTCTCTCTAATTTCAGACAGATGTGAACTTCCTTCCTTTTTTCAAAAATCTTTTTGCTTATTCTGTCTTAATAATATGTCTTTGTTAATATTTACAATTTTATCAATTTATTTACATACTTTGCCCATATTTGTCATATTCAGGCAGTTGAAAATTGAAGGCTCGACGGTGCTTTATATAACGAAGCTGGCAAATGTATTTTTCACAAGTGTTGTTGAAAATGGAAAAGAGTTTCGTCGAATTTTTACCAAAAATTCGAGTGCATCAGGTGATTTTAAACAGTTTGTTGTTATTTTGCAAAATGTATTTCTTACACTGCCAAGGATCTCTCCAGAGGTTTGATGAACTTTGAGAAAAAGCAGTGGAAAGTCTTTTGGGACTAGCAAAATTAAAGTCCTTCTTCTGGCGTTTTGTACTCTGAAGAGTACCAGACGGAAAGCCAAAGCCATTTTTTAAGTTTAAGTCGGGATTCTTAAAGGAAGTTCCACTGTCTTTTCAACACTTTTGACAGTCTAAAGATTGTGCTTTTGATAAACAAATTTCTCAATATTTTCACTAGTAGCACCAATACCAAGGTATTACATCTATGTAATAGTCTATCAAATTTTACTGACAGAAAAATCAGTTACGCCGAGCCTTGTTTAAGTTCCCCATGAATTTGATCCTTGATTTGTTTTCGTCAGCTCTTTTCGATCGATGTAAAACCATCTAAACTTTTCTCACCAGTGAACGTTTCTGACGTTAAGAGAGTTCTTTTTTATGACAAGAATCAATAAACCTTATGTTACTTTCTCACTTTCCTTTCTCTGTAGCCCCCCTCTTCCGTCCCTTGTTAGGGGTTTAGTGTAGGCTTCTCATTAACATAACCGGCTAGAAAAATGTTTTTTAACAAATGACTTCTGTTGTTTAATTGCAGTTTTTAGTCAAATATCAGCAAGGTACTTGGTATCTTGTTAAGCATAGAGTGTGTGTTAAACAGTCCTTGTTCTTTCCCAGCTTTCGTTGTATGGGCGCATAAGGAACTGCAGCATTTCGTGTCTTTGTTTGCACGACAAGTGTTTTCAAGAAAAAGCAGCCTGGCGGCGATTGCTGTATGCATTGAAATTGCTACGAAACACTGTAAAAAAGTAAGTACACAAAAAAATGCAGCTGAAGAATGTCTCCTGTGTGTTCACCCTTGATATTGCATTGCTTTGATATGCCAAAATCATGTATAGATTTCGTATGCAAATGTACCTATTTCAAGTTTGTGAAGTTTTTGTCCGTTGATATGAAAAACTTTATACCCTGGACTTTCCTAAAGTCTAAATTTGACAGGACGGCAAAAATTTCAAACTGCAAGCTGTGGAGGAGTTATTTGTAAGAGTTAAAAGATAGACTGTAGTAAGATGTGCTGATAAATCAGCATTGGAGCTTTAAAGGGCTCTTCTAATCAATTTGTTCAGGGTTCCATGAGGCAGTCAGTACCCTTTTGAGTGTATATACTGCTCTATTTTTTACTCGCTCTAACTTTTATCTTCTCTTCGCCAGTTATTGACCATCGGCATGGACCTTGCATTTGCTATGCATCATATGTTTCTGAAGCATCTCATGGAAGCAATGTTTGACAACAGGGACCAGTTGATCAGCAAGGCTAAGCACTTGGGAAGTGTGAGTATTCACGATATCATGATTCGTTTTACTTGCAGTCTTGTTAACTATATTCTCATAAAATTCACAATTACAGGACAATACTAGCAAATGGCATGGAAATAAATAGCAGATCTTTAACAAAACAAAATGAAACATAACAAAATGAAACACATAACAAGATGTTACACACAATAAAATGAAACAAATATTGCAAAAAAACTAGAAGACCACGAAGTAAAATAACGCAACAGGGAGGTTATTTTAACAAAATACTCCCGCCAGTATGTCTTCCAAAATATCGCATAAAAGGCCCAAACGTCCCTGTCTGAAGATGTGACCGAAAAAATGCTCCTAAGCCATTAAACCAAGCGAAGGACGCACCGACCACCTGGGCAATCCTCTCGAAGAATGCAGCACCCATACCTGTATTGGTAATAACCTATTGGAACTTTTCTGAAGCCTGAATAATATCCTATGTTGCCTCAAGAGTTTTCGCCTTTGAAGCAAAAGGTAGCTGTTTCTTGCCATGCAGTATTTGACGTGTTTGTACTCGTCAATTTGTCAAAGTTAGTCGAAGCTAACATAGTTGTAAAGAGGATTAATTCAATTGATCGCACTAGAAAAGCTATATTTTTTCAGCTTTCTTCAGCATTGAATTTTCGTCATCATAAAAGGTATCGATAACCTCTGAATAGAGCTTAAAGAGAATGCTTAAGGTAGCTTTTTTTAAAACTATCCAGAATAGCAAATTGCAATACAGAATAATGCAAATTTCTACAGTTTGATAATGTCATTAAACTCGAACATCTGGATCAAACCATTGAAATTCACTTTCCAATTGAAAATTGCTGTTTTACTAATCTGTCGTGCAGCGCTAGATGCATTTAAGGCAAAGCTGTTCACGTTTTGGTGTATAGAACAGGACGGTTCTTAGTTGCAACTCCACGTTTCACACTTAATACAATCATCATACAATTGTTTCTTTTCATTTGAATAATTTTGCCAACGTGAACTGATATTAGCGCATCAACTCAATAACAATTTGATAAACTGCTAGGTGAAAAGACGACCAGGGTCTGCCAATTGTCTTAATCATATCGTCCTTATAGAATTTTGCACAATCTGGGTTGTCTAAAGGTGTTGTCCGATGGCAGAGTCACTAGTTTTTATAAAGATTTTCCGTCTGACACTCCTCAGAGTATAAAACGTCAGAATAAGGGTCCGAAAGAACACGATGGTTTATATATTCCCAGAACAATTTGATACAACAACGACGTAACAGTTTGGACGAACTAAATCATGAAGAGGAAATGATTCTGATGATGATTTTTGTAGGAAGAGTTGTGGAAACCTACGGATTACACAAACAATGTTGACGATCTGTATACTGTTATTGGAGAACTGGAGTCCTTAGGAGTTTCTGATGCATATAGCTATGGTACAGGTAAAAAATTGCTATAAATATGCCATTTACTTTTCTTGTGTGACTAATTGCCAAAGAAAATTCATTAAATTTGTGTGCTCCTGAACAATAGCGTCTTCAGTATACCTCTACCAAGATTGTACATATTTTGTGAACCCAGCTACAACACACTAGAATCATTTTCCATAATATCTAAAGGCTTTCTTATCAGATTCGAGCAAATCAGGTTACCTTGTTAGTTGGTGATCGCAACGTTTGCATATAACACAACGAAACGTAGAGAGATGGCAAAAAGTCAACACCCACCTGAAGTCGCTTGCAACCGCCGAACAATTTTTAAACTTACCTTCTAGATTTTTTAAATATGTTTCAAGGCTGTTTGTAGTTTAGATATCCTTAGTTTAGACTTCCTCGTTCATCCTCCCATTTAGCCTTGCCTCCCGCTATATTTCCGTGGAACATCACACATGTCTGCTGTTACTAGTCGTTACTTATTGACCGATGTTAAAACTCTGATAACACTTTTATCAGACATTCCTTTATTCAAATACAAGCCTTGTCCGTTTAATGCCCATTAACCCGTGCTCTAAACAGGTACCCATCAGTTATTGCTCAGCAAATCAGTCGCTGGCTTTACGAAAGGTCTTCTCATTTACTTTGAAGACGGCATGAAACTCTACACTCCGCAGGTGAGTGAACTATTGCCATAAACTTGAAAAAATCTTATCTCATTATGAACTTCATTCATCTCCATTTTGAGAAGGGTACCAATTTTAGGTTATCAGGCATTTTTTCAAGAAATGAAATAAATACGAAAAAAAACGTAATTCTTCAAAATCAATCAATTTTTTTTTCTCGCAGGTAAGTCTTTTATCGAATCTTTTTCATCAAGTTTGTTTTGATTTCTTCAGCTTCAAAAATTCTTTACTATTGTCTTTAAATCGTTTTCTACCATGATCATGAATTTTCAATGTCGTGCTAGTTTGCCCCATTCACTATCAGGATCTAATCATTTAGAATAGCCAGTAAACTGCTTATTTTACTCTTTATCAATCCACTACCTTTGATTTCCCTGTTTCAGCTACACAACGTATTTATACAATGCTTGACAGAAATATTTAAAACCCAAGCTCTGCTACTCGAATTTACCATAAAATCTGATCGATTCAAAGACGAGGTATGTAGTGATTTGTTAAGAAATTTACACAAGGCCTTTTTGTGGCATTTGAGGTACCTCTGCGTAGCAACACTGTTTTTGCTATAAAACAGTGTTCAGGCAGTTGAAGTTCAGGTTTGCAATTTTTCCAAGTTTTCCAAATCTCTGAGGTTGGATTCTTCTTGTTCTTAAATTATAAGAGTGTGATTAATGAAATAGAAAAAGGGGATAATATTGTACGTCAAAACGGCATTTCCCCTCCTCTCATAAATGGTAGCTCGAAAAATGCCTCTATGGACTATGGATAAGTCAGTAAATTTGTTGTCCCAATTCTTGTCACTATCATTGAAAATAGAAAATTGCATTATCATCTTGCATGGATCTTGTTCTATTACTTACCTTGTCATAACAAAATGCTTTTTTCATCTTAATTTCAACCCCTGAATCCTTTTCTTTGCGATTCAACCACTTTAAAAAGTTTTACCATCAAAATGAAAAATTTGAAATTCAGATGCCTCAGAAAATCATAAAATTTTGTAAGCCTGATGCGTTTTTTAATGAAAATTTCTGTCTATCGGTCTGTCGTGAATTGCTTGATGCCGTAATGGCAGAGCTGTACACGCCATTTAGTGTATAGAACAGGACGGTTCTAAGCTGCTACTCCGAGTTTCACGCTTAATGCGATCATTAGGCAACACCAGACTTAATACTTTTTTATAAGCTCTTTTGTTAAGATGCAGATCGAGGCATTTTAGGATGTCATCATTTTCAATTATGAATACATATATGCTTTCATTTTTCATTTTTCATTGATTCTATTGCAGCTCGAATTCATCTCAAAAAACATCAAGTTCGTTTTCAACAATGTACTGCCTATCATAGAGCGGAAAATTGAGGTAACTGAATTGATAAAACATTTCATGTTTAGATGTATCCCTTCCTAATGAAAATTACTGTTTACCGGTCTGTCAAAAAGTGCTCGATGCCGTATAGGCACAGCTGCAAATGCTTTTGTTTTGAGAAAGGACGACTCAAAGTTGCAATACTAAGTTTTTGACTTATAGATCAGGACGGCTTAAAGTTGCAACACTAAATTTTTGACTTATAGATCATGACGGCTCAAAGTTGCAACGCTAAGAATTTGACTTTTAGATCAGGACGGCTCAAAGTTGCAACGCTACGTTTTTGACTTGTAGATCAGGACGGCTCAAAGTTGCAACGCTAAGTTTTTGACTTATAGATCAGGACGGCTCAAAGTTGCAACGCTAAGTTTTTGAGTTATAGATCAGGACGGCTCAAAGTTCCAATGCTGAGATTGACATAATGCGATATTCTTGTCTTAAAAATAAATCTCGTTTTAAGAAAAATAGCGTGAAAAGTCCAAACAAACTATATACTTGATTAATATGCATTTTTTCGTTCCCTTTTTATATTAGCCGATATTTATACTTTATAATGAACTCGAGTGGTAAGAAAAAGCTCATTTCCTCTTGATAAGTTCTCAAAATAATATTACGTATTTATTTTTTTCATTGTTAGAAAAAAGTTGGTCACCCGATTGATGTTTTGAAGGAGTTACACGAAGAACTTCCAAGACTGGAAAAAATTATTTCTATTAAGCAAAAACGCATGTAAATATGTTAAAACTTAAATTTTTGGGTGAATCTCTTTGGGCATTTTTTCTAAGATTTGCCGAAAAAGATTGGCAGGAGTCACACAACTGATCCTTGCTATACCTTAATGAATTATTAAAAAAATTGTAAATTATTTCAGACATTTATTATTTGAGAATACTCGAAAGAAATTTCTTGCTTTATAATCATGTTCACTTGTTTGCTCTTTGTCATTAGGGTATTATGAATTTTATAAATTTATGTGAAGGTGTCCATTCGGCATTGTTACTTTGCTTGTATGGGGTCTTGTCCTTTCATAGTGTCTGTGGCCTTTTCTTTTTAGTGATAAAAAACAGTAGGAAAAAACCTCATTTTCTAATTTTGTATGATTAATATGGTGTTTGACAGTTTCAAGAAGTTCTTGCAATCTTTATTTGTTCCTGCTTTCCAGAAGTTTATAGCGAAGATTGACATTTAATTTCTATGAAAGTCTATTTCGTTACTGATATTCATGACAAGGTTAGGGATCGTGTGTCGGCTGTCTCCTTGAGTGGTATATGCAAAAACTGAGATACAACTTTTTGTTTTGGAGGCCAGCCTTGATGAATAAATGTACAACAGCCATATTTTACAAAATAACAGTATTTTACTTACGCTTATTAAGATTTTTGGGGGGTTCAGGCCCAACGGTATCTTGGTCCTTGGGTATTTGCAGTGTAGAACAAGCGTTTTGCACCAATTTCAAAAGTTAACATGTTTGTCTCTAGTGAAATCTCTCATGGTCCATTGCATTTTTAAGTTTTGCGTACATAGTTTTTGCATTGAATTCTGAATTCTGTTAATGGACTAAAGAAATCTGTTTCTGTATTCCACGTCCATTGAAGGCATTGTCTCTCTGGAACATGATTCAATTCGAAGTTGCATTCAAATGGAAGATTTCGTTTACAAACGAAAAATGCCAGTCAGTTCTCGTCTCTTGGGAAACTGGCCCTTTAAAGTTTAAAGCAGACGTATTTGCTGATTTTCGTTCAATGCTCATACGGAAAACAGCCTTTCATTGGAAGGAATGCATTATGAAAGAGTACAGTGCCAACAAGAAAACAGTCTGAAATAGCGTTGTGGGATACCGACAAATATCCATTCTGCAATCTATAAAGTGAAGTTTTTACCACAGAAAAGGTTGAGACAAAAATATGAGCACAAGGAATTTGTAAGGTAAGTTATTAATTTTTAAAACTGTCCTCCGACGTTTTGTGGACTTTAACTTTATAAACTTATTGAGTACTTGTCGAGTTCGGTGGTACATAATCTTCGTACACGCGTCCTGCTGAATGAGTATCCTGACCCTGGTCCGCTGGTGGGTTATGCCAAAAACCCCTCCAAACCTATTGAAGGAAAAGTAAGATTACTTTTTTCCCCGGCAGGTTCAATTCTATAAAGCCCTTTATACCATGCGAGTTCCAAAATGATTTTCAACCCCTTTATCTCTGACATAATGGGTGCCGCAACACACCCTTATATCTGAAAATTTTCGTATGTCACACCCCTTTTCTCAGACTCAAAAATTTTTATATTAAATCAGCCCCATCATTCTGACAATTGATTGATGAAAAGTAAAATGTAGATTGCCTCAATTACTGACTCCAATAATTAGAAAAATATAAGTATAATAATTAAACAATGTTCATTTTGGTGCTGAAAAAACTTATCATCAGTTTTGATGCTAATGAGCACCCAATGTGCAACTCATGCCAAAGACATGTCAAGGCAAAGTCAGAACTGAGTTTAGAATCTTGTTTCTTTCAACTTTTTTCTTGATCGAAGGAAATATTTAACAATTTTCTTTCGTTTATTACAATTGAAATGGGTGATTTGAGAGCACGTGTATATGCCCTGTCTGTAAGATTCAACACCCTTCTTTGATCAAATACTTCTACTGCAGCTTCTGTAGTGTTTCTTGGCTTCTCAACAGCTTTATCGTGGCAATTTATGATAAGGGAGTTAAGGACGTTTACAAATAACACGATGAGCTTAGCATACACTCGTTTATTATAAGAAGTTTTGAGAATTTCTAGTAGTGAAAGATTCTTAATTTTATATTGAATAAAATACTCGTAGTTATTTAAAAAAATCCCACTTTAATGTTTTCTGATCAGAAATTTCAAGTTTCTTATCCTCGTATTCGAGTTGGAAACAATTGAAAAAGGGGCTAAACGAGCTAGAATAGCGAAGATCGATTTTTGAGTTTTTTAAGGAGTAAATCGATAGAAACTCTGGGAGATGTTTTATTCAATAGACTTTTTTCTTGAAGATATTTCGTTAATGTAGTGGAAATTGCCTCAAACACGCGTTTAAAGCCTTGTCTGAGGACTTCCCCATTTTACGGCAACAGCCCCTTCTCCATAATATTACGGCGCTCCGCACCACCCGACCTCACTTGTTGAGACGTTCCATACTCTGCAGACTGAACTTTGCAGGTGCTTCTTAACCTGACTCAGTCTTTTACTGTCAAGTAAGCAAAATTCTTTATGTAGCTAATGTTTTCATTACATCCACTATGAAAGACAATCAACAACACTTCACCTCAGTTTAGCTTAAAGTTTAAAGCTACATGTCGACATTCTCTAAAAATTCATTTCCTTCCTTACAATTTCAAATGTCATATTTGCATTCATTGTGTTGTGATATCCCCCACCCCCACCTGAAAAATGAATTCCCGCCTTTGAACACACATAAAGTGATTTGGGCTTTTGCTATGCATCGCTAGAAGACATTCCGTTTCAATATTTCTGCAGCATTTCCCCCATAGACTCTATCCGGTAGGCCCTTTAAAAATGAAAACAGAAGTGAATTGAATTGCATGATTTTCTTGGCGGGAATGGCGAGCATTTGAAACAAGGCTGTTGTCCGAAAAGCCACAGATAAGAGACGCCAATAAATAGCCCAGGGAGAGAGCGTTTACTTGCATTAATATGACAAGGGCCACGTCCAAAAGTTTTCATAAACACTGGTAGCTTGGAGTGAAGCTTGAGTTGAGTGAGGCTATGTATGGCCTAAATTGGAATTTTGTCAAGGCCTGAGCACGAGTTCAGGCATATTTATTTTTGATTTCCCTCTAATTAAAGAGGAATTCAAATCGAGATTTGTAACAAACAGAAAGTTATATCATAGAAACAGGACCTTATTTCAAATGATGTTCTTGCAAGTAAAGTAACTTTGAACCATCCAGGTAATCCCCTTTAATAGCACTAAGGTAGTTGAAACAATAAAAATGGTGTTGAAACATACAATTATCCTTTATGTAAGCATACCAAATTATACTTTGACTTTGTCTAGCATGGTAAGAGTTCTGTAAAGACTTAATTGAATGGAATTTGCCATTTGGTGGAATGGAACACACTAAAGTACTGCTTTGATGTACTCAAGATTTTAGACCCTTTTTACCAATATATCTAGTATATTTTTGGAAAACACCCCTTTTTTGAAAATCTATGTCCCGTATGTGTGTCAAATTTATGACCCATTCCCAGAAATTTTTGGAACTCACATGGTGTATAGAGTCATATGGAAGTGCCGGGGCCTAGGCAGTTCCCGTTCGCCCTTGGTAGGGCAAGTACTTCACCACCACATGCTCCAAACACTTCCTTGTAGCTCGATCTTAAGTCTGTTGCCATTCCTGAAGAGCTGTCGTGAAAATTGCAAACTGAAATTCTAACTACTAAACGAATTCCCTCTCTCCGATTCACTCCTCTACAATGTTGTTTTCGTTGGGATCAGGGCACGTGTCTACGACTTTACGTCAGCGCCTGAAACTTGTCTCCAGACCTCTCCGCCAGGAAAATGGAGAAATTTCACACTTCGCGTGGTAAATGTGGAAAAACGAAAAGAAAAACACAAATTTCGTGTCGATATTCAAAATCAGCACGATACTTAGCTGGTTTTCATTTTTCACTTCAGTTCCTCTTTAAGCCATCTGGCCAACATTGGCCAATCGATATGCATAATAACGCTTACACACTTATCAATTGGCTAAATGTTGATTGAAAGATTGCTTGAGCCATAAGGCTTGCTGTTTTACGAAAAATTGACACCCTTATGTAACTTTCTTCCAGATTGCTGTGCCCCTTAGCGATAATATCTATGTCCATTGCCTTAAAAAATCATGTATCATACCGTGTTAGCGCCCTTAATATGTCGGTGTGTTAGCGCCGTGTCAGTCCCTCCAAACTTTTATTTAAGGCAAAATGTCTCTTCTTCAGGGCCTCCAACAAAGCGGGGTCGGGGGGCAATTCCCCCACTTTTATGCAAACCGATAGAGCTTTTTAAAAATTCTTTGTCGTGATTGATAGAATCTCCCTAGGCCCCCTCCCCACTTTCTAACCTGCCTCGGAGCACAGAATAGAAATGACCAGAAGGGTCACTCTTTGCCAATCGATTCAGCGTGAGTTTTTTCGCGCATGCGTCACCAAAACGAGGATAGTATGTCAAACAATAAGCACGAACAAAGCACATCGATGAAAAACAACACAATAATGTGAGATGGGACTAGGAAAACAAATTCAACGATCTGAACCAGAATTAAACTAGTATCTTGCCCTGTATATATTGCTTTATAACCGGAAAATACTGCTATCAATGGTGGTCTCGCATCTCACAACTGTAGTAGGCCTGTAGTATTGATTATTAGCTAACAGGGAATTTAAATATCGTTTCCAAACTCACAATTCATAACGAACTAAGCGCCTCTGTGATTTTATTCACTCTCCTTTTGCTTCATGATGGTATGAAGTGCAGCCCCAGTGGTATTCAAGGGAGCTTGTTTTTAAATTTGCTTCAACACGCCTTCGATTGTGCAACATCCTAGACTACTAGCCTCCTTTCATGACGGTTGAAAACGAGAACTGTATGTACAGACAGCGCGGCGCCAGAAAAAATCGAGTGAACTTGCAACAAAGGATGCCGCTCGGAGCCCATTTCGGCCGTTAGCCGAAAGTCTTGACAGTTTGTCAGAAGCCCTCCAAATGGCACGTGACAATGGCGGATGCAATAAAAACAAATATGGCGGAGAAGAAGGAGGGGTCAAACTGTGGCAGAGAGCTTGGCCTACAAGAGCTTTTCTATGAAACAATGAACAACCGTTTTGACACCAGCCATTACTTTGAATATGCAGTACTTCACGCTAACTACCGAATCACAGATGAAGATCTTATAGCAACCCTGAAGATTCTTGTGAATTTTCAGCCATTTCTTCGGATGAAAGTTGCAGGCAAGATAGAAAGCGATCGACCCCCGACAAGGAAAGCCCCAGTTGATGATCCTAACACAAGACTGTATTTTGAACCATGTGAAGTTGACTACAAGAATGTATTAAGAATAAGGAAACGCACCTCGGTTGACGACTTAGAAGAAATTGTGAGGGAAGAGGAGATATTTCTATCTAGGCCAGAGAGATACGGCGATGGCCCTAGATGGAGAGTTGTTTTTAACATGCCTAATTATGTAAATGGTAGAAGTACTAAGTCTGGTGATTCATACAGGTACGAGCTTTTCTTCGGAATGCAGCATCAATTTGTCGATGCAGTAAGTGGCTTCGATTTGGTATACAGGCAGCTCTTACCAATCCTGATAAAAGTGATAAACAATATGCCAGTTGATGATGTCTTTTTGCATCCACTTGACTTGACTCCAACATTCGAGGAAGAAATTCTTGGAGATGCCCAATCAGCAGATAAGCGGCCTGCTTGGTACACAAAGGCAGGGATAACTTTGCTGCGCAAAGTAAACAAGGTCTTTAAATCAAGGCATTTTGGAAGGCCTCCTATTGTCTCTGAAGGCTCCCCCTTCCCAAATGAAAAGGGAATGGGTATTTTCAAATACTATTTTGGAGAAAGCCTTGTAGAAAGAATATTGTATGAGCGGAAGAATCATGATGTCACTGTGCATTCAATCCTCTTGACGGGATTCTCATTTGCAATGATAAGATTGTTGCTAGATCAGGGTCTTCCTGTTGCGAAGGATATCATAAGTGGTTGGCCAATCGACTCAAGAAAGAAGCTGCCAAAGTATAAAAGTCCTCAGCCATTGGGCATGTTTGTCGGAACAACTGGATTCACTTCAATGAAGGTGCCAAGGGAAAACAGACTAGACAAGGACTTGTTTTGGAAAAGAGCCAGGAAGATTGCCAGGCAGGTATTGAAAGGAGTGGAAAACCAACACATAAAGATGCAAATTGATCTTTTTGCATATGTAACTGAACATTTGCAATATGAAGACTTTTTACAATTATTTGGTGAGATAGGCGTCAATCAACATTTTGGTCTCAGCAACCTTGGCAAATGCAGCCCAGGTCCAGAGTTGGATGCAAATATTGAAAAGGCTGTGGAGGCAACAGAAATCTACTTTGGCCTACATGGAAATGGATCTGCCAATGTTGGATTTCCATTCTTCATTACTGTTTTAAATCACAAAGGGAAAATGTTTTTCGTTTGCTGCTATAACAAACTGTGGGTGAAAAGGGATCTTGCAGAAAAATTTCTTACATATGCAGAAGATATCTTAGACAAAGTTTGTGAGAGGGCTTCAGAAATGCAAGCCATGGATGACAAAATACCCTGCAAGGAATCATCAAGGTCCAACAAATTTATCTGTAAATAGATGTTATACTTTCGGTTGGAAAGGCAAAGTAAAGGAGAGTATCAATTCCAAATTCCAGCAAACCTTCCACTTTTATGTAGTCACAATTTTAACGTAGGGCACATTTATGATTGACACCAAAGAGCCTTTTAGCCCTTTCAGCCCCCCCCCTCTATCCCTTCTGTCAGCTCTTGTATAATTCTGTCAAGTCACCTCTTCTGTCACATCATTCTAGGCAATGAGAATACAAGTTTTTACTTTTCTAACTTTCATATATTTCAGCTGAAATGTGTTTCCAGATTTATATTTAAGATAAACAGAAGAATAAAGGAATTTAATGGTTAAACTGAAAACAATCAAAGTTGTTTGCATTGTGGCGTCTAGAGATTTCAAAACTTTCCTCAATGACATCTTTGTTAACTCTTTGATAATTTGAACTACTCAATTTTGCCCAACTGTCTCAACAATTTTAAATTTGGCCTCCAAATATTTAAGTTAGTTTTGAAGTTAAAAGTTTTTTCCAAGTAGTAACATACTCAAAATGACAGTAAAAAATTCAAGACTTGGTTGAAACCAGTGTTAGAAGCTGTTAAGCTTCTCCTTGCCGTCCCCCTTCCACCTGTCTTGAATTGAATATAGGTTTTGATTATCAATTTTTATTCATTTACATTTTCATTCATTTATTATTTTTATGCATACGTTCAGGGTTGTCAGTACAGGGGATGTGGGGGAGGGGTATGATACCCCCCTTTTGAAGAAAATTTCATTGTAAAAACGAGAGGTTCTCTGTCATTTAGGCGTCCTTTATCAGCAAGTTTTCAGATATGTCAGCAATAAAGGATGGCTCACCCACTTTGTTGGTAGATAGGATTGGGGCAACCCCCTTTAGAACAGAAACTAGCAATGGCCCTGCATATGCTTACTTTCTTATCAAAGTCCATTCAGCTTAACCCTAAAAATACTCAAGTAAGCCTGTAATCGAAGAGGGTAACTGGGACAAAGCAACAAAAATGGCACAACAATAGTAAAACAAAGAAAAATGCCTGATTTTTATAGGACAAGGGGGAACACTGCTCCCACAACTCTCACTGCCCCCTCTGGTGCAGGCATCGTTGAACATAGCAATGTTTTTAGCATTTTTAAAGGTTATTTTAAAAATTAACATACAAGTAAGAAAGCTATATGTTTGATATAGTATATGCACAACACCCTAGTATATATGCTTTATGCCACATGCTGTGTGATTATCCTGGATGTATTTGTTGCACAGCTGAAGATTTTTATTTAAGATGAACAAAATAGCAGGTCTAGCCTGGAGAATAAAGACAATTGAACATTTTTAACAGAAAACGATGAGTTTTATAGAGCAGTTTTTAAAATGCATATAAGCTATTTGTTTCTAGCAAACAGATAGAATCTTTGCCTAGAAATCGTTGCTGGTCAATTCACGTTTCTGGAAAATATCAAATTGAAAAAGGAGGTGATGTTATGAGGCTGTAATTTTAATATGCTGTTAGTCCCGTGATGTGAACATTTTTATATGTGTTATAATCTTGCAAGCTTGTATTTCTAGCTTTTTTACATAAGTAATTAAGATGGCTGCATTTAAGTATGGTATTGTCTTCTAAGCTTCGTATTTCGATTAGGCATGATTTTGGGATGTCACGTGACATTTATTATACAACGCATTGATTATTTTATGTGGGATGTTTTTAACTTTAAGAATGTTTTCACAACATGATGGTTTTACATCAGAGAAATTTTAACATTCTAGGGCTGGAACCTAGTTTTAGTTTAAGCACATTTTAAAATAGCTTATATGGCTGGCTTAAGAAAAGAATGAGTGATGCTTTAGCTTCTTTTTGTGTATATCCTTCAGCTGTTGCGCAATTGTTGATAAAAGATTGTCTTCCTATCGTACTTAACGTGTGCATAGCTAGAGTCCTGTCGCCATGAGGTGGTGCACTATTAGCAAATACGTCTTAGCTTGTTTGAAAATAAGTTTAGACAAAATCTACTCTCTATTAAAAGACACCTTGGTGTGTCCTCTAAACGACGTTTTGAATTGTTCTTAACTTTATTCAATTTGCTTTCCACACAACCAACATCAACAAGTAGACAGGGACGAAAACAAGTTGCTTACTTTGGGGGGGCGTGGAAGGATGAAAATTCCAATCAAAAATAATCAAGTAAGAAACTTTTCATTTGACCAGTAAATCTACTGTACCTACCAAATTGATATTTGTAAATAGCCCGAACACCATATTTCTATTTTCTTTATAATTACCAAATCTTTACTCAATAATTAGCCTAAAGCATAAAAGCCTAAAATCTCTAAATTTTGATTAACATGAAACAAACATTTAAACTTACAGTAAGAAGTAAAGCAACATTTAAGTAGTATTCTTTTAGATCAATTGATCAATTTCATCTAAATTGATCAATTAATCAATTGGCGCAGATCAATCTTATCTAAAATACATTTTTTCACGATATAGAAGCACCAAGAATTTAAGCCTTTAATTTTTGTTCTTGATCGAAGAAAACTGCTAACAATTTTCAGAGGGCCAAATGCCTTTTCATTCTTTACAATTGAAATGATGATTTGAGAACAAACTTGTGCATATGCCTGATTCGAAAGATGAAACACTCTTCTTGATCAAATACTTCTACTGCAGTTTTTGCAATGTGTTCTTGCTTCACAGCAGTTTTGTCATGGGAATTTATGATAAGGAGTCAAGGACGTTAACAAATAACAGGGGGAGTTTAGCATAAATTCGTTTTTATAAGAAGCGTTGAGAATTTTTAGTACTGAAAGATTATTAATCTTTTATTGAATTAACTACTCGTAGTTTCTTAAAAAACTTCCACTCTAATATTTTCTGATCAATACGGGAATTATTATTCCAAACTGTAAAGTTTCAAGTTTCTTATCCAGAAATTCACCTTGCCTGTTCGTAATTTGATTCAACTCCCGTCAGAAAGAAAGCAAACGGGGCAA